TATGTATGTCTGTCACTCTGCCTATGAGGCTGTCTGACTAGTTCGCTTTCAGTTTGTCATTCTTTCTGGCTGTCTATTATTTAACTCTGAGTCAATCTAGCTGTCAAGTCGTCTGTCATCACAAGTTCAATGTGGCTTTCAGCTTGTCTGCTATAAACAGAGTTAATAAAAGTCAAAGATGCCAGAGAGACTTGAGACTCTCGTATAGCTCACCCAGATCAAGTTCTTGTCTGATAACTGAAGCCGAATTCCAGCTGAATTTCGTACATATATAGAATCGGGCAAGTCAACTAATTGTACTTGGATTAATCATTACAATTGAGCAAAGGGTTATCTAACTGCTAAGAGCTAGCAAAACAAAATATAGGGTATTTACAAGTCGATCATTTTATTTGCCACGCTTAGCGGCATGTGCTGCCAGCGTCAACGTTTGCATCATCGCGGCTCGTCGAAGCTGAGCTGCGGCTACTTTCGCGATGCCTTCGACTGCGTGGATGTGACCCAAGAGGTAAGCGGCCAGGGATAAAAACTAGATAATTAATCTAGATAATTATTATCTATCTAGCACATGGCCAGCGTTTTTCAGCAGCGCCACAACTGAGCAAAAGGCGGCAAATCGAAGAAGCATAAGGAAAATGAATATGAAAATCTTTTACTGAAGACAACTTAAAGGCCACGGCAAACGTTTAAAGGAAATATATTTATAATATATATAAAAGAAATTCAAATTCGTTAACATATCAAATGTTCAACAAATGCATATCATTCTTGTTGTTTACATAAACGAATATATACAAAAATATCTAAAATTAACTCAATTAAATTCTATTCAACACAATTATAATAATCAAACGAGATTTTCAGTGTTTTTTGTAGAACTAATTATATTAATCAGACAACAAAATAAATATGAAATTTAAAGAAAATATATATATATATTAAATACTGACTGAGGCATTCAATGTTATTACAGCAAGTATTAAACACAACAATTTTATTCGCAAAAGTCTTAATGTTATTATCCAAAAATATACTCAATTACAAATTAATTACAAATGAATATCGAAATTTATAAATTAATTAATTAACTAACATATGTAGCCAAAGACCATAACCGAATTGTGAACTGTACCTTTTCAAGCACTTTGCGTTCCCCATTCGCATCAAGTCAAGTCAAACAATATATATATATATATATATATATATATATATATGTATCTATACATATTTAATATGAAGCCTATGTAAATGTATTTTATAAAAACCATTCAAACATGTTAATGAAGAATTAAAGTAAACAAATAAAGACAACAAGTGTAAGGCACGCTTAAAGTGCAAAGGGCGCAACGCCCGCAAAACCAAAAAAAAAATACCGAGAAATGAATTTTAATTATTTATTTTGCATTTGCTTCGGGTCTTAAAGGGCCGCAAAATTTGCATTCCCATTCTGTGGGTGTGTGTGTGTGTGTGTGTGAGGGGGGGAAATTAAATGTAATATAAGAAATTATGATTTTGAACAATTGTTTATTGTTTTACAAGCAGGATAAGTCGATGGTCAAAGCCTTGGTTCAAATCCCTATTATTATGGGAATTATTATTTTGAAAAATTCTTCCCTGTATAATAGGGGTATTAGAAAATGATCTGCCCTAATTGGCCAGTTAAGCAGGAAAAGTAGATGGTCAAAGCCTTGGTTCAAATCCCCATAATATAGGGAATTTTTATTTTGAACAATTGTTCCCTGTATTACAGCTGGGTATTAGAAAATGAGCTACCCTAGTAGGCCAGAGCAGCAGGAAACGTAGATGGTCAAAGCCTTGGTTCAAATCCCTATAATATAGGGAATTATTATTTTGAACAATTGTTCCCTGTATAATAGGGGTATTAGAAAATGATCTGACCTAATTGGCCAGAGCAGCAGGTCAAAGCCTTGGTTCAAATCCCCATAATATAGGGAATTATTATTTTGAACAATTGTTCCCATTATTGCATAAGATATCTTGATAAACATACTAGTGTTTTAGACAAACACTTCATTTTCGGTATATAGAGGTTCGATCCGGCCATATATTCTGGCTGCAAAAGAAGGACGGATCTATGCAAGGTTTCAAAACGAAAGCCTTAAAACTGAGAGATTAGTTCGCATAGAAACAGACAGTGGAACGGACGGACGGACAGACGGACGATATCAACGCGTCTGTTGATGCTGATCAAGAACATATATACTCTATCGGTCTGCAGTTATCTTTTTCTATGCCTCACACATTTCATGACAAAATTAAAATACCCTCTACGAAAGGGTATGCAAAGCAAGAGCAAAATCTGTCTGCAATTTCGATTGCTTGGCGGCCCACACATTAACCCAGAGCAAGTCTTATTAGTATGTATATAATATATATGGAATTATGACCCTCACCTGTGCAACGTCATAGGTGTGCCTGTGGCTGGAACCTTCAAAATTTGTTGTATGTGCAAATGAGCTCGCGGCGAACCTGTAAAAATCGATCGAAAATAAAAAGGGAAATGAGAAATTTTTTGCGCTTGCCAAGCTGAAATTTCACAAGGACAAAAACCTGTGCGAAGCATTTGCTATTCAAATTTGAATCAAGAAAACATTTGGGAATAAATAAAAGACTTTGAACTCTTGACCTTTGCACTGCAAAGTGACGACAAGCCCAAAAGGAAAGCCCACAAATGAAAGTCAACCAACTGTTGAGCTCAACAGTTGTGCCACTGTTTGTACAGTTGTAGCTTTTTTTTATTTTACAAATATTTTTTGTTTTCCTTTTCTTTTTTTTGTTTTTGTTTTATTTAAAGTGCCAGTAAAAACGCAGCTTAAAGCTAAAAGTTAGACTCTGTTTACACTTTCAACGCTTTTTGTTATGTTTTCTTTTTCGTTTTGTTTTTTGTTTTGTTTTTTTGTTTTTTGTTTTTAACAGTACACCGTAAATGCCTCACATACACATATCCAAAATTCCAATTCACATCCTGTTCAATTTCTCGCCAACTTTCGCTCGACTTTCTCCAATTACGTTTAATGACACATGACAAAAAACAAAATCCTTTTAAGCTTGAGCCTAACACTTAAATCAGATTTAAATCATGTTTTTCTTTCATTGCAAAATTTCTCTCAAAAACAATTAAAAATACAAGTTTTCTTAGCTGGCAAATAGGAAAAGTGATTTATATTATTTAAAATAAATTTTGTTTCTGTTGCGCATTTGTTGTTCAAGTCTTTAAAAGTATTTTTTTTTTCTCTCTTCGGTTTGTTTCAATATTAAACTCAGTACTACTTCAAGTTTTGCCTCTATCGGAGCGATATTTTATAATGGAATCTTTGATTACGTTAAGTTCTGTTAATCTTTAAAAAAGTGGATTTTTGCAAACGAAACAACGTACGTTGTGGGAGAGGGGGGGAGTCTATCTGGATTGCGGGGGGCATAGTTAAACATTTATCATTTTAACAATATTACAAATTGTGTTGTTTCACTTTCAGTTATTATTTACACATTTTACAATTACAGGAATATTCTTTTGTAAAAACATTTTTTTTTTACTGAAAAGGGCTTTGAATTACAGGAAATTAGTTGGAACTTAATGTAAACGTATTTCATAATTCTTTTCAGTTGCCTAAATTAATAGGAAATCAAATTTCGCAGGCCGAAAGTTATAACAATCTAATTTAGGTTCATATATATATAGTTTTTTGTTTTCTTTTTCGTTATACGCATATCAAATCGAATTGTTATACATAATAATAAGTATAATATATATGATGCTTACTTGTAGCTTGATGTATATGTTAAATTAATGTTTTCTCTCTTTTATAATTTGTAGTGCACTTTAATCTCTTGGCGTTTGTGTGTGTATTATGTTTGGGGCAAAACATTTCATGTATAGAAACTACTATTACAGGTTTTATATGTGTGTGTGAGTGTGAGTGTGTGTGTGTGTGTGTGTGTGTGTGTGTGCGTGTGTGTGTGTGTGTGTGTGTGTGTGTGTGTGTGTGTGTGTGGGTGGTGCAGACATGTAAAACATTTAGCTCAACTTTGAAAATGATTCATGACACGACAGACAACACAGTTAATATAGGTGTTGCAGTGTTGCAAAATGACTTAAAGTTTCTAATTATCAGCTTTATGCGTGATTTATGTTTATGAATATGTTTTGTTCAAGTTTCTTACAATGCAAGCAAATATACATTTACATAAATATAAATATAAATATAAATATATTTATCGTTAATATATTTCTATTCTTTTGCTCAACTCAACTTGTTTAGTTGTCGTTTTATGACTACAGTAAAAATAGGAAGAACAAGCTTTGGTTAAAACAGAACTAAAAACAAAATCAAAATGATGGAAAATGCAAAAATGGGAAAATGGAAAACAAAATGCATGAAGTTTGGGGAGCCTACGTATAGAAGAACTTAAAGCAATTTATGCATATGTTTACATATATATAGATAAGATGTGTGTATATGTATAATTAGCTTAGGAGACGCACACACACAGCAGCAACAGCATTTGGGAGGCATGGATGTGGGCGTGGCATGCAGCAGACGGCGCGCCAAACAATTTGTTTGTTTTTTTTTGTTATTTACTCTGCTTTTATCAATTTGTAATTCAAGAGTTCCTGAGTTTTTTGTTTGTTGCAAATTGTTGTCAACGATAAACGCCTAAAAAACTGGTTTCGTATTTCTAGATTTAAGGTTTCTATATACGATTACAATATGGTTATTTAATGCAGCACAAAAGTTGCCTGCCAGCTGGAATTCATACTTTTGTAACTTGCGATTGATTTCTCTGGGGGATTTTCTTTTTTATTTTTGTATTTTTTTTTTTTTTTGCTGTTCTCACTGCTGCTCAGTCTTGGCAAAGTCTTTTAACTGTTTGTAGTTTTTGTTGTTGTTTTTTTTTTTGTTTTCTTTGTATATATATTTTTTTGTGAACAGTGGCTATAAAAAATATATGCATGCTTTGTATTAGGTGTATACATATTTAGGCCCTAATTGTGTTTTTCTTTTTCATTTTTTTTTTTTTAGCACATTTGGCAGTGCGGCGATTTTGTGGCGCGCCGCTGCCTGCACGTACGGGAAAACTAAGCGAATCTCAGCGGAAAATGTCAAACGAAATATATATAGATATATATATATGTACAAAAGTATAAAGTCAATGCGAAATGCAACAGATAATCTAAAAACGAGCACAGTTCATATACATATGCAAAGCATGTGGATTGGCATTGTATGAATCTGGGAATTGTGGGGCGAGGGATGGTGGGGGTTGGCGGGGGTTGGCGGCGTTTGGTATTTGGTTAGACCTAAGTATTTACAATGTATTTGTTAGTATCGGTTAGTTAGCTTAGTTTTCATTTGCTGCTTTGTTGTCGCTTGAAGGTAACACGGGGCCAGGTTACAGGTTACACGAGTTGCAATGACGAAAACAAAATCAAACGAAAATGAAACGCTTTCCCACTCTTGGTCTACGCACTAGAGCCACAATCAGTTCTTGACCTTGTCCTCGACACGTATGCTGGCCAGCGTCTTTTTGATGCGCAGCGCTGTGAGTCGCGCCACAGGATTGGGATACCAGCACTCCTTCATGACCTTGGCCATGTTGTGCAGCACATCGGAGCCGTGCCAGCGATTGGGTATATTCGGCCGGCTCTTCTCAATGCAAACCACCTGCAAGGCACAAGCCAAATGATACAATTATAAATTTATATATATGCATATATATAGTTATAAGGTTTCTGGTCTGACCTTCTTCATCTCCTCGATGCTTGGATCGGGCTGCACGGCATCCCAGTAGGGTAGTTGATATTCCTCATAGATCATGCCCATGTTGCAGCGACGCGCTATCTCCCAGAGTATCAAGCCAAAGGCGTAGACATCCGCACGCTTGTACGAGTCAAAGTGCTGGGCATTCATGCTCTCGTCCAGCACCTCGGGCGCCATATAGCGTTTGGTGCCGACGCGATGCGTGGAGGGTATATCGACAGAGTCATCCTTCTCCACATGCCTCACCGCCAGGCCCAGATCACCGATGGCACAGCTCAAATTCGACTTGACCAGTATGTTCTTTGACTTGAGATCACGATGCGCTATGGCAGGCTTGCCCCGCGTGCCCACAATGTCCATGTGCAGATGCGCCAGTCCCGTGGCAATGCTCAGCGCCATATTCAGCATGACATTGGTGTCCACACAGTGTGTGGTCAAATAGTCAAACAGCGAGCCATTCTCATGGTAGTCCGTGACCAGCCAAAGCTGTGTCCAGGTGCCGTTGTCTGCGAACGGGGTGGAGCTTAGGATTAGCAACAGTTAAGGAATAGTTTCAATGTGTAGCCACTCACCCTTGTTGTCCGCTGCAATGAAACCCAATATATTCTCGTGTCGCAACATGACTGTTTGATAAATCTCCGCCTCGCGGAACCAGGAGCACTCCTCGCGACTGGAGAAGATCTTGACGGCGACATTCTCGCCACGCCAGCGACCGCGCCATACCTCACCGAAACGCCCCTTGCCAATGACATGACACAGCTGCACCTGGCGTGCAATGGAGCGCTGTACGAGCAGCGGCAGACCAGCTGGAAAGAGGCAGCGAAGGGGGCGAGTATAAGACATTGCTTAACGAGCTCTTGAGTGGATTTTAGGGATAATCATTCTGCAGCAGGGCATTTTGCCAAGCCGACTAGGAATTGATCATGACAAAGGCAGTGAATCCAATAACACTCACCGGATCCTGAGCCCGAGGTGGTCATCTCAATAATATCATGTAGCGTAGTGTTGCCATTCAGTATGGGATCGTAGACAGAGTCCTCCTTGGCGAAGGGTCGTCCATTGGCCAAACGCTTGCGGCGCTGACAATAATACCAGGTCATGGTGCCGCTAAAGCAGATAATCACGGTGACGCCCACAATGATGACAACCAGTTGCCAACTAGTCAGTGTCTTATTGGGCATAAAATCTAATTGGAATATAACGCTTATTAATTCTCATTTCAACTGCAAACTGAAGGCTGCAAAAAAGCTGAGCGTGAGAATTAATGGAAAATTAAATGCCAGAAAGTTAGTGAATAAGTGAGAAGACAACATGCATAAGAAGAAGCCATTGATTAGATCTAAAACGGATAACCAATAACAAAACAAATTAAAAACAAAAACAAAAACCCAAGGTGCATTTATAACAATTAAACGTTAGTTGTTAGTTTCTGTGTGTGTGCCTGTATATGTGTATATATGTATGTTGTAATTGGCACTAACCTGTTTATGACTTTTGGTAGTTACATATTTACAAACCTTTGCATACTTGACGGCGCAAACTTAAAAGCTACAGAGCAATAAACTGTAAACAAGCACGCACATATTTAGACGAACCCACACACAAACACACACACACACATACACATACATACATAGAAATGAACGAACACACAACTAACAATAGTATTTAGATGAGCGCAGTGGGGAAACAAATAGGCTGCAGACAGCAAAACACACAAAAATGCGGCCATAAATGAATGGAATGATGCCGTTAGGCAGCGACGTCGACAGCGACGCTAACATTGCAATGCAGCCGCAGCGCACATGAATGAATATGAATGCAGCAGCGACTTGCATAAACAGCAAACAGCAAACAGAAACGGAGGACGCAGACAGAATTACCGCAGACAAGCAGGCGGCGAGTGAGCGGGAGAGCGGGAGAGAGGGAGAGCGCAAGAGCGACAGCAAAAAAAAAGCGAAGTCTGCTGCTGCTTCTTCTGCCTCTTATGCTCGTTGCGGTTCTTGTTGTTGTTGTTGCTGGCTGGTGGCCCCCTTGAGACAGTTGTTGTTGTTGCTTTTAATGCTCTTCTTTTTTTTTTTGCATACTTCCTTTTTTTTACAGTTGTTTGGCTTTTGTACGCGTCGTGTTTTTAACAAGTCAATATGAATGATGCGAAAGGTCAGCAGACAACTCGAAAACACAGCAAGCGACAAGTGGGCGGTTTAGCTTCTGGCGGGGGAGTAACGACGAGGCCGCAAAACAACACGCGAGACAAGGTGAAATACGCAACAACAAAAAAAAAAAAAAAATGGTGCATCCAGTGTGCGCGCGTGTATGTGTGTGTGTGAAATAGAAAAGGAAGGAGAAATACCAACAAACCAAAACGTTTTTTTTCAAGACGCATGTAAATGTGGAGCACAGGCTGCGCGGAAAGGGGGAAAGTGTGACAGGTGTGTGTCTGTGTCTGTGTGTGTGTGTGTGTGTGTGTTTGTGTTTTGCTGCGTGTGCTACAAAAATGTCTGTCTAACGAAAACGCAAATGTGGTGGTGCAATGACATGGGCGTGGCTCCAATGGCAAAACGACAGGGGGGGCGGGGGGCATAAGGTGGACACGACGCGTGTTGCGAGTGTGGTGAAAAACTGTGCCCGCTGATGTTGTGGTGTGCCGTATGTAGTATGATGAATGGCTATGGTGGGATGACTCGATTGGTTGTGGTGAATGGTAGGGGGGGTGGGGGTTTAAGCAACTCTCACCTGGTATAACACCATTGTAATTTTCGCGCGTATTGCAAAAATCATCTTGACAACATTTTGTGGAGGAGATGGGTGTATTATCATGACACCAGGCGGGATCTTCGGGTGGTAAGTGTATTGCAAGGGGCAGGCATCTACATACATACATACATATACAGAGTAGTTTTTTGTTTGTTTGTTTTTTTTTTTTTTCTTTTTTTCGAGTAGTAGAGTTTAATACTAAATGCTAAAATTTTAGTTACTACTAAGTTAGGCAAAAATTGTTGATTTTGTAAATAGTTTTTTACAAATAGCAAAAAAGTGGGGTAGTTGTTGTTGTTGTTGTTGCTGTTGCATTGGTTGTTGTTGTTGTTGTTGTTGTTGATGCGTGTGCAGTTGATAAGCAGCTGTTGTTATAGTTGCAATTGCAGTTGTTGTTGTTGTTGTTTTCTACTTAATAACTAAATATTGCATCAGCTTTTGGCTGTAGCGCAGCGAGCGTGCAGCAGAGGCGTGGTCTAAGGGGGTTGGGTTTTGTTCAGAGGGGTTTTGCGACAGCAGCAGCGGGTTTTATGTTTAAAGCAGTCCAAAAGGGCCCCAAATTCGGTTATATACACAAATACTAGACCTCTCAAAAATAGTACAAGACAGCACAGTCAAAGCACCAGGTGAGAGAATTTCCACCACAAAAAAGAAAACAAATCGAATTTCACCGAAGAAACGTACAACGAACAGAAAACGCATGGAACCAGTTTCACCACTAGCTCAATTTGCATTGCATAAAAGTTTACCAACACTGAAAAATGTACAAAAAATTCCACAACTGACTCATGAATACACCTACTGCATATCCATGGCAAAATATATGGCACACCTTGCACAATTCAGTTTTTCATCTTCTTATAAGCATCTACTATCGATAATTATTGGGCATGCATGCATTTGTATAAAAACTAAATTTTTTCATAGGTGTAAGTGTAGTTGTTAAGATAGTCAGAGGGATACAAGAGATCGGAACAGGACGAAAAAGAAAAGTTAAATAATTACTAAAAACGAAAAAAAAACGAAATAAATAGGAATACAAGTTTCTTTCACTCGAAATAAAAGTAATAATATTATTAATTTTACCAAAGTAGTGCATATAAAGAAGGTGCTTAATTAGCACAGAGAGCAAAAGAGGTGCAAACCAAAAAGCCAGATTATATCAATAGTTTGTTGTTTTGCTTTCTTTCGACTTTTATTTATTTACTTGTTACTTATATTTTAAAATTGTTTTGTGTCTGTTTCATATACCTGTGTCAAATATCCTCTTCATGAGCACATCTTTATTGCAGAAATCCTTATCACAACAGCTAATTCGAAAAGTATCTTGCTTAACGAGACTCGTGAGGCATTCGAGCGGTTTGCGGTACCATTCGTAACGGTTATCTTGGCAACTGCACAGCAATGGTAAACCAATATACAGTTATTTGGTTGGGTATGTTGTGTTTAAAGTTTAAATGGCGAACAAGAGTGGGGCGCAGAGAGCAACGAGTTGGCAGGCGATCGCAAGGAGCGAGGTGAAACAAAGAGAGAGAGCGAGAGAGACAACGCAGCACAGAGAGCGGAGCGGGCGCGTGTTTTTATTTTTTGGTATTTTTTGAGTAGCTGTAATTTGTTCTTCCAGTGTGCACAAAAGAAACAGAGAGCGAGAGAGAGTCATACTTTTTGTTGTTGCTTCTGTTGTTGTTGGGCCAGTTGCTAATTAGAACTCAGTCTGGCTAGGAGCAATCAAAACAAAAGCAAGAGAGAAAAAAAAAACTGTAAAAAATACTTCTAGTTGTCAGGAGCTAAGCTGTCTGTTGTTGTAGTTGTTGTTGCTGCTGTTGCTGTGCGCTGGAATTATTTATTTATTTATTATACACTTTTATTTCGGGTATGTTCACTGTTAAATCGACTTCAACACGAGTTGTAGTAGAGAACGAGCTAGCTCAAAAGAACAAACCAAGTGGAACGAGGTGAGTTTTAGAAGAGTTTTAGTTGTAGCGCAGCGAGCGTGCAGCAGAGGCGTGGTCCAAAGGGGGCGTTGTTTATATATAGTTTTTTTTAAAGGGGCTACTTTTGAAGCTTAGGTTATATACAGAAATACTACAAATCTGAAAGAGAGAGTAACAATCTAAGTACCAATTGAGAGAATCTAGAAGAATCGTATACCCAAAAAAAACGTTACAACGTAGAGTTAAAGGAAAATGCGCAATCATTAAAAATCGATGTATTTATGGAACTCTTAAAGCAGTTCCCACTGCAGCACGAAGTGTACAGTAAATATTTACCAACACTGAAAACTGATTGATCTCACACCTACTGTAAAAAGTATGCATATGCCACACCTTATACGATAATAATAGCTACTTAATACGATATCTGCACAATTAAGTTTTTTTTCTTCTTTTTTTCTACTTCTAAAAAGCGTCTACAATCGAAAAGTATACAAATTGTATTTAGCATGCAAAAGTTGATTGAAAAACTACATTTTTATTATAATTTGGTTTTTTCTTTTTATCTAGATAGGTGTAGGTGTAGTTGTTGTTGGTGTGCCGTTAAGATAGTCAAAGAGAGTCAAATAACGTGCAAAAAATAGAAAAAGAAAAAAAAAACAAATAAAGAAGAAGAATCTACTAAACAGAGGACGAGCAGCAAAAAGCGAACAAAGTGCAAATAGAAAAGTTAAATATTTACTAAATTAAAAAAAAAAAAAAATGTAGTAAATATACCGTAATAAATACGAATTTATGGTCAATTATAGGGCGCCTACTAAATTCTTGTGCAAATCGAAATAAAATTATTAATATTATAATTACTATTATTATTGAAGTGCATACAAAAAAAAAAAAAAAAGAGAGTGTGTTTATTTTGTTGTTGTTGTTGTTGCAGTGCAAAATTAGCGCAGAGTACAAAAGAAGTGCAAACCAAAAAGCTTTTTATAAAGAGAGCGAGAGAGAGAGAGAGAGAGAAAATAAGTAGTATATTGTTTGGTTTCCTGTATTTGTGTTTTTTTTTTGTCTGTATTTGTTATTGTTTAAAGTTGTTGTTGTTTTTTTTTATCTGTTTGCTGTACCTGTTTCAAATATCCTCTTCATAAGCTCTTCTTTATTGCAGAAATCCTTATTACAACAGCTAATTTTAAACGTATCTTGTTTACTGCGACTCGAGAGGCATTCCAGCGGCTCACGATACAGCTCGTAGCGCTTATCGAGGCAACTGTACAGCAATGGTAGACCAATATACAGTTATTTGGTAAGTATGTTGCGTTTTAAACAGATAGTAAAAGAGAGAGAGAGAGAGAGAGAGAGAGCGCATTGGCAAGGCGAGCGAATAGAACGTGGGGAAACAGCGAGAGACAATGCAGAGCGCGCGCGTGGCGTATATTTGTTTTTGTTTTTGGTATTTTTGTTGGTATTTTTTAGTAAATTGATTTGATTGTTTTCGTCGGGTGTACACGAGCGATCGGGTGAAAGACAGTAAGCGAAACAGAGAAAGAGAAAGAAAACGAATTAGTACGACTTTTTTTTCTGCTTTGTTGCTTTTGTTGTTGTTGTTGTTGTTGTTGTTGTTGTTGTTGTCGCCGCTGTCTTTGGGCCAGTTGCTAATTAGAACTCAGTCTGGTTAGTGGCAATCAAAAACAGTAAAAAAAAAAATTAACTCTAGTTGCCAGTAGCTAAGCTGGCTGTTGTTGTTGTTGTTGTTGCTGGGTTTTAGTAGTGTGCGCTGCATTTGATATTGTTTTGGGTTATGTTCACGTTCAAGTCGAACTCAACACGAGCATATAGAAGAGAACGAACTAGTTCAAAAGAACAAACAAATTGGAACAAAGCAACTGGAACGACGTGCGTTTTCTTTGCAGTTAGAAGAGCGATTGTGAATATGGAACGGGAACTGAGCGGGGCGGGGCGGGGCGGGGTTGTGGAATAGGCGTTAAACACGTGCACAGCATAGCGCACCTTCGTAGATAACCGACGGCGCCAGCGACACCGACTCCGGACCACCACCTGGCGTGGCCGTGGACAGCGCATAGTATTTGATAACCGGACGCAGTTGGCGATTGCAAAAGTCACGATCATTGCAACACGCATGACCGCCCCGGCGTGCGGCTGGACGTGCCGTGGGCCCACCTTGGCGGCCATCGTTGCACCAAATGAAACGGCCCGGCGGGAAGCTCTGCGACATGTTGAGGCAGCTACGCAACGGGATTTGCAACAGACACAGACAACGGGCACATAATGAACAGGTTTTCCATTGTTGTTGCCGTTTGTTGTTGTTTCGATCATTGCCCATGAAAATGGCAGCTAAACACTTACCGAAAACTGAAGATTATTTTGCCATCAGTGTCCTTTTCCACGGAGGTGAAACAATATCCATCCGTTTCGCATATGTGATTCGTCTCCTTGCAGATATCGCAATGACACTTGATCGTTTCTGTGGGGCAAAAGATTTAAATATTTAAAGCACATAATACCAGAATGAATGGGTTAAATGGTTTGAATCAAGCCGAGCTGAGTATCGAATATTTTGAATTTTAAGTTTACTTGTGAAACGAATCGATCTCGATAAAAACATGCATCCAATAAACAAATTCGCAATAAACATGCAACAGATTTTCACTTCCATTTCACTTAAATGAGTGGAAGCCCCCAATGAAAGTATGCAAAATGCAAATAGTAAACGAATTCGCAATAAGCATAAAACCGATTTTCACTTCCATTTCACCTAAATGGGTGGAAACCTCCAATGCAAGTATGCATCTACTAAACAAATTCGTTGTAAACATAAAACCGATTTTCACTTTCATTTCACCTTAATAGGTGGAAATCTCCCATGAAAATATTTATCTACTAAACAAATTCGCTGTAAACATACAACGGATTATTACTTCAATTTCACCTAAATGTGTGGAAACGTCCAATGTTCCAGTAATTAAAATCTATTGCACAATATATGAGTTTTTAGAAGTAAAGTGTTTCTATCTGCGAATGTCTACAATATAAATCGTTTTTTATTTTAAAGGAACTGAAATTAAAACTTTTAAATAAATGAATCTATAACTTCTCCATCTATCTAAATAATATATACTATATGTCTACATTAGACACCATTAAAAATTAGTAGGAACTTTTTTTGGCCCGACGAGCAAATACCCTGAACCTTTGCTTCTACAAAAACCAAAAGCTCAAGCTTTACCGAAGCTATATAAAGGATCTGTATGTACTTTAGTAAAAGCTAGATATTAAATATGTTGAATCTAGCTCTCAGTTACTAAGAGATATCCTCAATAAACATGATTTCGATAACAATGTCTATCGATTGTTTGGAAACGGATTAAGTTATCGATGGATCTACATTCAAGCCTCCAGCTCGTACAGGTTCAGAGAGCGTCGGGCTAATACATCAGAACAGATGAACACGAATATATATTCTCTATACCGTCGAAGAGTCCTCCTTCCGTCTGCACAAAACCAATATACCCTTTTCCATCTTCAAACGAGTGCAGGGTACAAGAAAACTTTCCAGTTAGCATTCCAGGACAGTATCCCAATAAGATTCCCAACTCAAATCCCATTTCAGCTATGTTTTCTGCCTTATCTAATCCCAAAGAACAACAACAACAACAATAATAAATGTTGTTGTCACCTCAAGCTGTGAAGGCCCGTGGACATGCGCTGCTTGATGCCAATTAGCAAGTCGCAGGTAGCTCCCCCATTTAAAGATTCATTAATCATAATTCGTAATTTGGTCTCGTATTGATTTTCATAAGCGATCGCAGACGCCCTCCCAACACTCCCCGCACCTGCCCAAGGCTTGAAGTGGGCGGACTCGGGTTACAAGAAAAAAGAAAAACAAAAAAAAAAAAAAGGAAACAAAAAAAAAACATGTAAAACAAAAGGCATTTAGCATAATAAAAAAAAAACAAAGCCGCGACGCGCCGAGAAGAAGACAAGTGCAAAGCGGAAAGCATAAAGAACCCAGACGAAGTCGACGTCGCCGCTGGCGTCGCTGCTGACGTTGCGCGCCAGTTTTGAGCTGCAGCAGTTGCATTTGCAATTCGAGCTGCGGGGGTGGGTGAGCTGCAGTGCAAGTAAGTTGGGGGGAGTGGGGGGAGGGTACAACTTGAAGAGCTTTGTCTGCGCCGCAGCGCATTGACATCGACGGCGCGCGCTGACGTCACGAGACAGCAAGAGGCGAGACATGTCAGAGACAGACAGACAGACAGAGGGGTGGGGTGGGGGGGTAGAGCTGCTCTTGCGAGGTGTTAAAGTCACGCGAGGCTTGCTTCTGTTTTGCGTTTTGGACTTACTCTCGTGCTTCTTGTTCTGCAGCGGCGGATAAGTTGGCACCGACATTCGCTGCTGAGGGGCGGCGGCGACGGCGGCAGAGCCTGAGGCAGCGTCTGTTGCGGGCAATTGTATGGGCACAGAGTTGTTGCTGTTGCTGTTGTTGTTGCCATGGCCGCTGTTATCAGCAAAAGGCAGCGACGATTTCGTTAGATAAGCGCCAGCTGTTTCATTTGTTGTTGTTGTTGTCGCTGCCGCCGCTGGCAGCGATTTGTGGCCAGCTTCAGTTGGTTGTACGACAATCTCAACGGGCGAAGCTGCAGGCAGAGCGAGAGAGAGAGAGGGAAGAGAAAACATAAATTTAGGTTAGTTTCGCACCTTCAAAAAAAGAAAACGAAAAAAAAGAACAAATGAGACACGAGTTGTGTCCTGGCACTTACCGCAGCTGGCATTGAGCAGCGCCAGCAGGCAGAGCAGCTGCGTCCACATTTTGTTTGTATTTGCTTTATTTGATAAACGCGCTGTCCGTGCGCCTGGCGCTTGTTATTGTTTTCGTTTTTGTGCTTTTCTTTTGTTTTCCCCGCACACACACAAATGCACGCACGCACACACACACGCACACACACACGCGCGCGTACAGACAAGCGCGCGCTAGCTCAAAGTCTGTGTGGGGTGGGGTGGGGTGGGGTGAGAGGGGGGAGCAGCCGCAGCAAACTTATTTTTCACTCCTTGTTGACGACACAAACAAAACTATGCAAAGGAGACGGCAGCGCAGCAGTCAACGTCGACTGCAGACGGCGGCAACTAATTTGCTTTGTATTGCGCATTTATTGTATAGGACACGGAGGCGGTGGGCGTGTGTGGGTAAAAGGGGGACTCGAAGTCGGCCTCGCGCTCTGCTTGCAGCCGCGGCGAGCTTACATTTTGTTTGTGCATTCGTTTAACGCGTAGCCACCATTTGGTTTCTTATTTGGCAATATTTGGCATTTTTTCGTGGTGCACCTGGCACGCATTAAACACAGACGCGATTGATCTGGACAAATTCGTACACTTCTTGCAAATCCAATTAGAAAAATTCGTATCCCCTCCCACTTTTACGTTGAAGTTTTCAGCCGTATTTTCATCACGTGAGCTTGGCACTTTAGCGGCTTGTTTAGCAACTGAAACTTATTGACACTTGTGGCCAGCACTTTAAATTGTATGGTGCAGTTATGTGTTAGCGTTAAATTGTATTATTTATTTGTTATATATGAATTTTTGGTTGAACGAAATCAGCGGAAAACCCGTCTGAGTGCGAGTAATTTTGCGAACGATGTGAACAGTGTGACCGTTTCGACTTAGAGCTAAAATACAGTATTTCTGCTAAGAAAAAATACTGAGCACGGACTGTACGGCGCTGCCACTGGTTGCAGCGCAACCAGTGATACCATAAAAATGTAATATCAATATTCAATTTGGATATTCGTCTCGGAATTTATAATTTATTTAAATATATTTACATCAATTGCCACTGTACGAATCACGAAGCATTTTTTAATTGTTATAACAGAAATTTATTTCCGCCAGCTGTTCTTACAGGTACTAGGTATGTGAAAATGCCAAGCAATCAACAAGAACATTTTGCTAATTTAACGATGAGGACGCTGCCGTTGCTTTTTTCATTATGATATATTTATTGCCACAAGAGACTTAAAAGCGACAGTGGTGGCATGCCAGGCTCTGCACCTTTCGAGAATCCTATATTATAAAAAGATAGAAAACAAGAGCGTCAATACAAAATCAATAGATAACATTTGCACCGCTGCTTCTTCTTATCGCACGTGCTGTAGGCACTTACCCAAATAAAGGACCATTGGCACAAATCCCCAGTGGAATGTGGTTTGAATGACATCCACAACAACGCCGAGACGTTCCTTAGCACCATCAGAAAGAACCATTTTGATATCTTGCTAGTAAAAATGCAAAACTCGAACGCACACGCTTGTATTATGAAATGGCTTTGCAGCGAGTCACCGACTGTAAAAGAAAGTGTTGGTAAGCGCGTTAAGTTTTTGATTTTGCTACAAGTCAATAAATGACGCTTACAAAGCAGCTCGAAAAAGTGGAATGCTAAATATGAAACATTGATTTATATTAATTGACTTGTTTGCTATAATTCATGCAAAGTCTACTACTCTGAAAAATCTACGATATAAATGAGAAAAACACTACTTTGTCATTGACCTTGCCATATCGCATAAGCAGACAATACAAAATGTAAACAAAACAACAGCGTTACCTGATCTGGCAATGAAAATGCATGCTGGTAAATGGCAGGTTCTTGCTAGAGGTGAGCTCGTGCAGAAATTTGCATTGACATCACAAACATAATACAATATTTTCATGCAAAAACCTATCAATTAATTAAGTTTGTAATCAAGATAATCAAATCAATTTTCTTATGTGCATAATTGCTAGTTAGATATGCGATTCGTGCTGAATCGTGCCAACTCGTGCCTCACTGGTTGTATCACATGTGCACGAGTCCAGCACTAGTTCTTTTCCATAGCAGCCCTGTCAGATGGTGTGGCATGCCCGCTAGAGCATTTTATTTGCATTTAATTTATTAATACATTTAATTAAACTCAACGCAGAACGCTCGGAACTGCATAATAGAGGAGACGTCAATAGAGAGCAGCGCATTCATTTTACTCACACATATAATGTAAGCGATAAGCAGGTGTCGACGACTTTCACACTGACATTTTCCAACACAATGAAGCAGAGAAACAAAAAGAAAAGAAAAAAGAAAGAGTGAAAAATCAATTTCGTATTATGTAAGCTGGCTTGTGCTCAAAACCGAAATTTTGTTTATATATGTTGCAGATAATAATTGCTTGTACGGACCATGAAAACAACTAATATCGGATTGTACGCATTTCGTTTAACCTTCGGACAGGTGAGCATACGCTAAATATCACATAAAACAATCTATTCGCAAATGCAAAAAATGTATGCAAATCAATGGGGAAATTACGCATAAGAGAAGCACAACTACACATACAAGCACACACACACACACACCACAATGGACGGCCTGCAAGCGGGCGATGCGTGTGTGGAATGCCTGAGTCAGGGCCTGAATCACAAGCTGCGCTACTTTTACCTGAATCTCGAGGAGCAGCTGCTTAAATGTGAATCCCGCACCTGCCTTTGGCCGCACAACGATGCCGTCTCCTCCTCCTCCTGCTCCGATGTGGAGGATGGCGAGACGCAATCACAGTCCACGCATGTGGATGATGATGAATTTATTAAGCAGCTGCTCGAACAGCTGGCAACGAGCAATGATTCCACAATGGAAACAAGTGAAACCAATCCGAACAGCTGTGATTCCAGTTTGAAGAACATTGAGGATATTCTCTCCATGCCTAATCACTGGCAAAGTGCACAGCAGCTGCTCTGCAGTGCAAATGCCAATAGTTCAAACACCTTTAATCTCGAGCAATGTGATAAGCTTTCACCTGTTGCAGCAGCCACAACAACAACAACAACAACGGCACAGTCTATGCCTGATTTGCTAACGGAACCTGCTTGCATAACGGAACTATTAAGCTCGCCTGCCAATGAGCCTGCTCCAGCTTCCAGCTCCCAGCCCGAACCAGCCTTTGAACTGAGTGCCAAAGCTGGCAATATTGTCTACACGATCTCCATAGCGCAATCCATGCCCAAACCCAAGAGCCCAACGCCTAAGCGGAGTTTCTTCCAGACGCCGCCGAGAAAGGCCTCCACACAGGTGCGCAAAAACCAGGAGCATCAGCCGCAGGCCGCGTCCAGCACTGCTGCAACGGCGCCCACACAGACCGCGAGCCTGTTTCTGGACGCACTGAAGCGTCCAACAACGCTGACGATGGCAACGCGGCGTCCACCACGCGGCAGGAATGCCAAGCGTCGCGAAAATGCGCCCTCTGGCGGCGCACGTTGGCGCATACAAGATGTGAAGCAGACGCTGGAGCGCATCGAGGCGGTCAGCAGGCAGAAGGAGAGCAAAACAGAAAGTGAATCGGAACTGGAACCGGAACTGGAGCAGCAAGCAAAAGCCAAAGAAAACGCATAGCAAATTCATTGAGCAAAGCGAAAAAAAAAAAAACAAATTTGGCATTTTTGTTGTCTTTCGAAATAAATTCGCCCACGAAAAATTTGCATGTGTATCCGCCATTTACAAACAAATTCCGATTATTTATAAACATTGAGAATTTTGACGGTCACTGCTTTATTTATGCGCGGCACGCGTCCAGCGCATGTTGAGCAATGTTCGATTTGGAGATCTGCAGATAGCGCTCCCACAAATGCTGCGAATCAAGAAAGCAAAAGAGAAGGAAAGCAGGTCAAACCAAGTGCGTCACAAGATGCAAGGCGCCGAGAGTCGCAACGAGACGAGCCGCTGATAAGTTCCAAACATGAACGCACAGTGGTGTCAAGTCTGCCGGAAAGGCAACCAAATTGCCAAATACAAATTCGCGAACATTTTCAACACTTGACACAGTCTAAAAATACTTAAGGAATCTATAAATAAGAGACGTCAACAGATAGGTGGGCAACGCGAATAGAGAGAGAGAGAGAAAAAAAAAATGAAATTACAGAATTTGGCATGCATATATATTGCATTATACCAATACATCACTTTTATTCATATTTTGGCAATTTTTAACTAAACTTAGCTATTGACTTTTTGAATTTTTATTAAAATTAAGCAATTGTATTTTGCTTTCAACCCAAGCTATTAGAAATTTCCAGCCAATTTGCAGTCGAAAATATTATTCTATATATTTTTTTCGCACAATTGATTGTGCATAGTTACGCAGCGTTCGCTAAGTGTGACCAGTCGCAAGCAACAACAATTGCTTTGATCACCTTTTCAAGCAACCTTCGCCCACTGTGCTGTGCTTGCTGACGTCACAAGCCACGCGCTTCCAGCTTTTTGCGTCTTTCATTGCATGCAAAAGCTGCGCTAATTGCAACAACAACTAGTAGAGTCGAGTACATGGATAAATGACGTTGCTGGGGGCCAGAATATGTACTATATATAGTTAGTCGCACAGGTGTTACAAGTTCAGCAACATGCGTTAATTCCTTAATCAGTTCAATGAACGTGGGCAAACGATTCACTGTGGGGTTAATCAGACAAATGTCCCGTTGTTGCCAACTGCAATTGAATGCTGCGCAGTAGAAACCAGAAGCCGGCGGCAGACATTTGGGCAATTGGCCAATTTGGCTGAGTGTGACAGGTTTTGTTTTGTTAAAAATAGCCAAAAACTTATGCAAATGATAAGAGTTTAACCCGTTTTTGAACGCACTTAATCTAATGCCTTTGTTTACCTTTGTTTTATCTCTAACGCAGGCACCGCCGCTCTCCGCACAGGCCACGGCGCACAGCAGTCATGCGTTCACCACCAGCTCCTCGTCGCCGAACCGTGTGGTGACCCGCTCGGCCACAATGTTGGCCCTGTTCGGCATTGCGCTCTCCTCGTTCAGCCTGAAGCAGCTGCTGGCCAAGAAGCACAACAAACACAATGCGCTGCGCAAGCTCTAAGCCAAAGGTCGGGTAACACGGGAGGAGATCAGATGTAAAGCGAGCAGCGTCCCTTGGCCATGTCCTGGGCGTCCCAACTCAGTTCCCATGCTCATATGTAGTGTATATTTCTTTAAGTTAAGTCATCAGCCATAAGCCCATACACACACACACACCCACACACACACACAGAGGGAGAGAAGGCAGCGACATGGCTAAATGGAGCTCGAGTGTTCAGTTATAAAACATTATGCGTTGGAAGTCAGTCACACATATATATTATATTTTTTGAGTTGCACCGATTAGTATATGTATGTATATATATATATATTCTTGTTCGCACACACACACACACAACACACAGGCAGACACACACAGAGAGAGAAGCTTGCAACGGTTGCGCCATGCCAACAAAAATTTGAATAAAACTTGTGATAGTTAATTGTCTACTAATGATGATGATGATGATGATCGTGATGATGATGATGATGTTCTAAGTGTCAGCTGTGCGGCCTCCTATGCAATCCTCATTTGCCTCCTTTAGTTCTTATATATAGAGTCTGTGTAAACAAGTCGCAATATATACATATATATATATATATAAATTTATATTCCTAGTTATGCAAATTCTAAATTTTAAACAATTATGAGAAACGACTAAGTGAATGTTTATGAAAACGTGGGAATAGTCCAATTGCCAAGTTTATATATGGGCTGCGCTTGTGCGGCACAGTATAAAATTTTAGTTTTAGTTCAAATGAATATGCTTCAAATAAATGCATTATTATCAAAATCAAATGTTCTTATTGTTTTCTAGAAACTTTTTCATATAATCTAATTAAATCATTATCATAAGCACATAAATACTATTGCTAATCAAATGTTTAACTTATAAATATGCTACTATAATAATCGCACACATAATTAAAGCTCGGCTATTGTATTGTTAACATAATTATGATCCACATGCGTTATGTCTAAAACTTCTATTAGCTGGCTGGTGTTCTCCTGTTGCAGCTGCTCCTCGATTTGAGCTGGCGTGCCGCAGCTGTGGAGCTCATCGTCGTCCCGCCGGACACGCTGCGTGGCCTCCCAATGCTGCAGCGCTCTCTTGGACGGCAAGGGATAGCCCTTTTGGAGCAGCATATTGTAGGCACTTGGACTGGTTGCATAGAGCACACAGGAATCGCGCAGATCTCGTTTGGGCCAGACAAGGCGTTTGCCGCTTTGCAGTTTTTGGATTTGTGCCTTGGAGAAGGTTTTACTCAGATTGTCTAGCAATTCATCATGGCGCTCCTTGCATTTGTCCAGTTGCTTTTGCAGCTTGTCTATTGTTGCCGCATCTTTTGCCGCGGCAAGCTTCATTTTAAAGTTCTCACGCCTCAGATTCGTGCTGCAAGAAAAACAATGAATTCATGGAGATTTCTTTTAAGAGATCGACGCTACAGACTTTTCTCGCTCTAGAGCTGTGAGATAGGCCTCGGCATCGACCACCACCTGCACAACTTCCTCGACCGGCAGCTCTTCCAGATCATCTTCCTCATCGGCATCGCTGCCCATGGAATCATTGTCCAGCTGGTGCTGCTGCTCATCATATTCCGTTATGAGCGCATCCACAACTTGTTTACGCTGTGCCACAGCCTTTGCTTGGCGCGATTTCTTCGATTCCAGCCCATGGCTAAACGCTTTCTGCTCCTCAACGTAACCGATCTCTAGGTACTCCTCCTCCTCCTCCTGCTTGTTATGTACGCTGGGTACCGAGTTCGGCTTTAGTTTTAATGGGCGTGGCTTGCTGTATACGCCCAGCTCGTAGGGCAAATCTCTTTCAAAGTCGTCGGCCTGGAAGTGCTTCACACAGATCTTCTCCAGCTTGGTATTAATCTTATCCGTGCGCCGGCAGAAAAGCGCCCACTTCTCACATAGTTTGGCATCTTTTGGAAATGAAAAGTAACGATTTTTCGATTTTGGGTTTGCGCAATCTTCCACAGCGCAAAACATCTGTAGGCAAAACGAAGTTTTTAAAAATTTCAAAATCAACATAAACGGAGCAAAATTGACGTCACGCAAAACAAAGAGTGTTGTACAATGCCCAAAGTCAACGGCAACCGTTCAGCTTGAAACTAGTTCATTGGCACTAGTTTCTTGTGCAGCAACTACATTGAAATGCGCTTAAATTTACAGCAATATTATTAAAAATATATTATATAAAAATAAAAACTTTAACAGAAAAGTATATATAAGAAAAGCAAAACTCGTTTACTACAAAATAATAAAGAACTGCCTAAGTTCAGCTGCTCAGCTGCTGAACCGGAACCAGCCAGCACTTGCAGCGCTGTGCGCAGTGTTGCAAAGCACGCGTATGTGGCACATCAAAAACATATGAAAAAAAAACACAACACATACAAATAAATGGGTGACGTGCCTAGTGCCAACACGGAGAATTGTTATTATTTGTAAATTGAAAAAAGGCTCACAGCCCTGGCGAGTGGCATCAAATGCGCTAAACACCTACGAGCTAACAGGAGAGCAGCAGCAGCAGCAGCAGCAGCAGCAGCAGTGAGCAGTCAGAGCAAGAACCAAAAAGATGGGCATAAACGTCAGCAGAAATGCCGACTTGGCGTCGAATGAATGGCTTCAGCGGTTCGTGGGGCGACAGCACATAGCCCACGATGACGAGGCCTTCTGGAACGGTCTGCTCAACTACAATATCGTAATGCCAGAGAACAGGTTGGTGGGGCAACACGTCAGCACGTTGGCGGCTAATATAAGAGTTTGTCTTGCAGCCAGGATCAGCTGAGCTTGGACTCGCGCCTGGAGACACTGTGTCAATCGTTTATTGGCAATAATCTGAAGACGGGCAATTTCGGCTCGCTGATCACGGTCTTTCTGGAGAAGACCTCGGAGCTATTGTCGCTCTCGGACCAGGAGAGCAACATGCATGTGTGGCAAACGTTCAATGCGCTCTTCATCATACGCACCCTGATCAAGTATATCAACGAGACGGGCTCCGAGTTTCAGCTGCTGCAGCACTTCGAGGCCATGCCCAGCGCCGAGCTGCTAAAGGCCGCCGAGCAGCAACAGCAGCAAGAGGCAGCGGCCAGCATTGCCATTGAGGCTACGGAACAGGCGCCGCTGGCAGCGCTGATTGTGGACGGCGCCAAGTTCGAGACGTTTATCGATGCGCTGGTCAATCTAATTGTCGTGATACCCGTCAAAGAGTTTACCTATCATCTGCATCTCGAGTCCGTCAACACGCTGATCACGCTGCTGGCGGTGCATCTGTTTGCCCAGCAGCAGCAGCAGCCGACAGATAAATCGATTGTCTTTCGCACCATTTACAAATGCCAGCACGCGAATGTGCTGATGTCGGCGCTGCTGCATTTTGTGGCGCGCATGGTGGAGGTGCCGCACACCATGTTCGGCTCCAGTTCGGCTGGATCGTTTGTCTTTGGTATTGCCGAATCGCTGCTGTCCATTTTCACGTTTCGCAAGCAACAGGATGTGCTCAAGACGAGCAACGCCACCGGCGAGGAGCTCTCGCAGCAGTTTCGCACGCATTATCCTTTGGCTAACCAGAGCCTGCTGCTTATACTGATATTGACTAATCACTGTACCGCCCAGGACAATGCCTATCGCACGAGTCTGTTTGGCTGCGCCGATTCGAAGGATTCGCCCAAGCAGGGCAGCGGCGCGGTCTCCTTTCAAATTGACTTCTCGGCCGTGTACGAGACCCTGTGCCGCATCGTGACCATCGATCAGGCGACGCTGCTGCTCTATTTGTTGCTGCATCGCAACGAGCGCTTCTACAGGTTTGTCATGCAACAGCAGGATCTGGAGCAGCTGGTCATACCCATACTGCAGACGCTGTACAATGCGCCCGACAGCAATTCACATCACATCTACATGTCGCTCATCGTTCTGCTCATACTCAGCGAGGACGAGGGCTTCAACAAGAACGTGCACACGATTGTAAGTCGAGTCGTGTCTCCCTTTGCCCTTCTCTTTAACCAAGCCCCTGTTCCATTTGCAGCTGTTGAAGAACATCAGCTGGTATACGGAGCGCACGATATCGGAGATATCGCTGGGCGGCATTCTCATCCTGATCGTCATACGCACCATTCAATACAATATGCTGAAGATGCGGGACAAGTATTTGCACACCAATTGCCTGGCCGCGCTGGCCAACATGTCTGGCCATTTTCGTGCCCTGCATCCGTATGTGGCACAGCGTTTGGTATCGCTATTCGAGACGCTGGCGCGTAAGCATACACGTTTGGATGCCCAGCTGAAGGAGCCGGCCGATAGTGTTGTGTTTGTGAATGTCGCGACGACGCCCGAGGACATGATGCAGGATTTGAGTGTGCTGGAGGAGGTGCTGCGCATGGTGCTGGAAATCTTAAACTCCTGCCTAACAAATCAGCTCGTCTACTGTCCCAATTTGGTTTATACGCTGCTCTACAAGCGCAGCGTCTTCGAGGGCTTCCGCAGTCATCATGCGTTCCAAGATGTCATACAAAATATCGATATGGTGCGTTCAGCTAAAAGCTAAAAGATATTTCTCTTTAATCACACACACTTTGCAGGTAGTTGGCTTCTTCTCCTCGCGCCTGCAGCGTGTGCAGGAGCAGCGCGGTGAGCTGGGCGTCAACGAAGTGCTCGAGGTGATATCAAAAGGCGCCAGTCAATGGTCCAGCGATCGCCTGCGGGTAAGCCGGAACTAAAACGATTTCAGTTCCATATAACATGTATTTGCTTTACTTTCAGAAATTCCCGGATCTAAAGTTTAAGTATGTTGAGGAGGATGCGCCCGAGGAGTTCTTCATTCCATATGTCTGGACGCTCGTCTGCAAATACGGTTGCGTTCACTTCAGCTCCGAGAGCATCAAGAGCGTGACCACGGACATTGCGTGCTAATATTAGATCCTAGCCACGACTGCGCCACTTCCTCGCTTTGATATGCTTTGCTCGCCGCTGGAGCACAATTTTTTTCTATTATTATTTTCACTCTATATCCAGTCTCTTTGTCCCAATCCCAGCTGTGTACACAAATTTGCCCAACCAATTCGAATCCAAGCCAAACAAATTATAGCAAACGTTGACGTTAAAGTGAAAAGCTAACAAAAACCCATGAACTAATGTTAAAATTTAAACCTAGGCTGCAAAGCGAAAAAGCGTAATTTGAAATAACAAACAAAACACGAAGATCTTAAGAATGTAAATCATATTTTTTGCTAACGCTAAGTAAAGAATCATAGTTGAGACAAAAGTTAAGCTCCGGACGCCTATCAAACGATTCTACTAATCCACAAAAACAAAGTAATATATATATATATATATATATAAAAGAAAAATTGAGTATATACATATTACATATATATATATATATTTACATTGCGTATGTTATTTATAATAATTATATAATATTGTGTTTAGCAATTGGTAGCTAAAGCTAAATTAAACACTAACTAAAGTTGATGAAAGTCCCCAGTTTTATCTGTTGTTAGATAAGTTTGAGCATGTGACAAACGTTAAATTGAAGCATTCTTATCTACGATAAATACCCTACATATTGGAAACTTCCTATAGCATGGGGCCTATTGTTTTGATCGGGAAGCCGAAAGGTATATTTGCACTTTGTTTTTTAATTTCCACATAGCTTTGAGTCTTTTTATTTTTTTTTTATTCTTCCAGGTAGCAAAAAGGTATATTGGTAGTTTGTGCAGGCCCATCTGTTTATTTAAGGGCCACTTAAGCATACAGGAAATTACTTCCAATAATGTGTGTGTGTCCACTTACGCAGCATTATGCATATTTGCACTATCAGCTGTCACAACAACAACAACAACAGCATTGGATTCGTCATGTTTATATTGCCATGCATTTTTCCCACTATTAACAACAACAATGTAAACAACAAAGCAGCAGACTCTGGAGTTTGATTGTGAAGAAGCTCAAATACTCTAGCTGCAAATTGAGGTAAGGTTAATAATATTTATTAAACTAACATATAGAATGTGTTCAAAAGCAACGTATAATTCACCAACAAGGCGTTACCCAACACTTCTCATAGGCAATATTTTCTTTAAGAAGGGTATTTTAGGTGTTTTTTACTGCCAGCGTTAAAAGTTCATTCAAATTCCCCAACAAGGTGCTTCCCAGCACTTGTCATAGATAATGTTACGTTAATAAGAGTATTTTAAGGGGCTTTCACTGCCAGCTGGTTAAAGTTCGTTGACATTTGTAGCTAAAGTGAATTACCTTACTAGACGTTACCCAACACTTGTCATAGGGAATGTCATCTTTATAAGGGTATTTTAAGGGACTTTTTTTCTGCCAGCGTCAAAAGGTCGTTGACTTTTGTGGCTAAAGTAAAACTCCCCAGCAGGACGTTACCCAACACTTATCGTAGATAACGTTACCTTAATAAGGGTATTCTAAGGGACTTTTTTCTGCCAGCGTAAAAAGTTCGTTGACTTTTGTGGCTAAAGGTAAATTCCCCAGCAGGGCGTTACCCAACACTTATCGTAGATAACGTTACCTTAATAAGGGTATTTTAAGGGACTTTTTTTTTCTGCCAGCGTAACAAGTTCGTTGACTTTTGTGGCTAAAGGTAAATTCCCCAGCAGGGCGTTACCCAACACTTATCGTAGATAACGTTACCTTAATAAGGCTATTTTAAGGGACTTTTTTTCTGCCAGCGTAAAAAGTTCGTTGACTTTTGTGGCTAAAGGTAAATTCCCCAGCAGGGCGTTACCCAACACTTATCGTAGATAACGTTACCTTAATAAGGCTATTTTAAGGGACTTTTTTTTTCTGCCAGCGTAACAAGTTCGTTGACTTTTGTGGCTAAAGGTAAATTCCCCAGCAGGGCGTTACCCAACACTTATCGTAGATAACGTTACCTTAATAAGGGTATTTTAAGGGACTTTTTTTTTCTGCCAGCGTAACAAGTTCGTTGACTTTTGTGGCTAAAGGTAAATTCCCCAGCAGGGCGTTACCCAACACTTATCGTAGATAACGTTACCTTAATAAGGGTATTTTAAGGGACTTTTTTTTTCTGCCAGCGTAACAAGTTCGTTGACTTTTGTGGCTAAAGGTAAATTCCCCAGCAGGGCGTTACCCAACACTTATCGTAGATAACGTTACCTTAATAAGGGTATTCTAAGGGACTTTTTTCTGCCAGCGTAAAAAGTTCGTTGACTTTTATGGCTAAAGTAAAATTCCCTAGAAGGGCGTTACCCAACACTTATCGTAGATAACGTTACCTTAATAAGGCTATTTTAGGGGACTTTTTTTCTGCCAGCGTAACAAGTTCGTTGACTTTTGTGGCTAAAGGTAAATTCCCCAGCAGGGCGTTACCCAACACTTATCGTAGATAATGTTACCTTAATAAGGGTATTTTAAGGGACTTTTTTTTCTGCCAGCGTAACAAGTTCGTTGACTTTTGTCGCTTAAGTCGTTGTCGTTAACATAGACACAAACCCGCAAGGGGGCGGGGCGCATTGTGGTCGGCTGACTGTTTTTGCTGTTGTTGTTGTTGTTGGCTTATTTGTTGCACATTGTTTGTTATTTGCAGTTTTGTGCGAGCTACGTGCCTTCAATAAATAAATTTCAACAGCAAGAGCATAAAAAATGCAAGCAACAACAAAATAAAACATTAAACACAATTTATTTGCCATTCGCGTGCTTTTGTTGTTGTTGTTGCTGTTGTTGTTGTTGCTACAAGGCGGAAAATTTGTTATTGTGCATTTTCATAGGCTGGCGGTGCGCTTGTTGCATTTTAATGCATTTTTCTACATTTTTTTTATTTTCAAATTTCCTAGCGTGCTACAATTGTTGTTAGTTTTCAGTTAATATGCAGGTTAAAACAGTTTATTGACTTCTGTCGCCCGCATTTTGTCTTCTTCCATTCAATTCTTGCCCAATTGGCCGCATAGAATTTGCCAGAAGCTTAGCAAAGTTCGCAACCCGATTGCGAAAAGCCGCGCCAATATCGTTGCGCAGGCGCGTAAACAAAACAAAACAAAACCAAAAACAAAAAACGAAGTGAAAAAATCGCAAGAGAAAAAAAAAAACAAATGGAAACGGTTATTGAGTCTGAGCTGAGCTTGATTGGATTCGAGCTGGCGACTGGACGACTGTAACTGGGCATAAAACGTGAGCACGCCAAATATGCCTGCCCCCCCCCCCCCCCCCCTCTGCCCCCGCAACTCCGCCTGGGTCCCCAACGCTTTTGTCGGCACTAAATTACAAAAATAATTGTGCAAAGTCCGCACCATTGTGAATTAACAAAACCAACAACAATATTATGACATAAATATTGGCAAAACGAAATGAAAACAAGAGCATAATAACTGTATGTGTATATATATACATATGTAATCATAAACATAATCCATATAGACGCCGCATTTTGCCTGCCTTTGTGTTTTTTTGTTGAGCCAGTGCTGCCAATTCCGTCAATCAATAATAGTGGGAAAACTTGGACTGGCATTAATTACAATTATATATAGCTTTATTTTACTCGAGTTTTGAACGAAATATCGATTTAAAAAAAGGAAAAGTATTTATTTCTATAAATATGACCATCATAGAAAGATGCTGTGTTTTTTCATTTGTATCGCGGCCAGTGCTGCCCATTTTGTTATTTAAACATTTAACCAACACTTATGGGCAATGTGTCCCAAAGGAAGGGAATTTTACTGCCAGCCTAAAAAGTTCGTTGAGTTTGGTCGCATGTGTTGACTTCTCCAACAACTCGTTGCCCAACACTTGTCGTAGATAATGTTTCCTCAATAAGGGTATTTTAAGGGACTTTTACTGCCAGCGTTAAAAGTTCGTTAATTTCAGTCGCTAAAGTAAATTTGTAACAATGCGTTACCCAACACTTGTCGAAGTAATGTTTCGTCAATTAGGATATTTGAAGGGACTTTTTTACTGCTAGCCTAAGAAGCTGGATAACTCTTGTGACTGAGGTAAAATTACTCAACAAGACGTTACGCAACACTTGTCGTAGTTCTCGTTATCTCGATTTCAATTGTATGGCAACCTTTATAATTCCCATTTAAGCTGACTAACAAATGAAATATAGATTTATTTTGCTTAATTGTTTTAAAAATAATCAATTTTTATGAATATTTATGTTTATGCGCATCATCCAAAGACGCCGCTGGCCCTTTGTATCTGGGCCAGTGCTGCCAATTTTGCTATTTAACCACTATTTTAGGTCCCTTTAAGCAGCTTAGTGAGATGCGAGAGTCTGGCAACGCATTCGCCTGGCCAACTTATTAGGCTCAAAAAAAGTTTAAATTTAGCTTTAATTAACAGCTGTGCCGTTAGCTGTAACTGAACTTATAGCTGCCATCTATAGGTCATTGATCCAATAGTTGTAAAACATCAAAACATACTGTAAACATGGCTAACTGGCCCGCAGATTGGGCTTGAAATGATTAGCTTGGACCGCAGCCAGGGCTTGGATAGACCCGTTTGCTGCTCTCCGGTTTGCCCTCGCTTTCGGTTTCGCTTGAAAGGCTTTGTTTGAGACACGAACAAATTATGTTTATTGCCAATCGATTTAACATAAATTCGCACCTTTCTATTGTTTATGTTTATTTACGGCCCGGGGCCGGGCCTGACGCTTTTTGGCTAGCACAAAATTATGATCTCACGTCTGACGTCTCGTACTGGTTTACCTAGACCCAACTAGGCAACCATTGACGTGCTCCACTCATCATCATCAGCATCATCATCATCGTCAGCAAACAGCATCATCATCATTGTTGTGCGACCTTTGCAGCTATTGATCTGGTTTGTTTACGAGTCGCTTGTTTGTTTCTCATATGTTTTTTATTTTTTTGCGAGCATTCGCATGAATGGCCCGCATTTTGAGAAATAACTCGAAGCCAGGCGACTTGGGCCATTTCCAAGTGAAATCTATGAAAGTTGCACTGAGACTGGTCTCTAATATATACTTTTTTGTCTCTCTTTGTCTAGCCCAGGGGCCAGCCTAGAAATGAATCAATCGTTTTTTTTTTTAAGCATGTTTATGATCTTCATAGAGCTCGGCTGAAGCTCGCTTTGAATATGTTTAGACTTTAGCTAGATTTGTTGACTTTTTAGCGGAAATTGCAACTGGTTTTGTTTGCTAGAAAATTCGAGTGCTAGAAAATTCTATAATGCTTCGATCGATTAACTCTTTTGCTTTAAGCTTATCCAATATGAAGACTTGTCTATGTTCATGTCTCTTTTCCATCTGCTATAAAACACTCCAAGATGGAGGCTTGGTTCTCCCTTTTCTACTATTAAATACTTTAAAATTAAGTCACCTTTTTTATATAATATTATAAACTACTCCAAGATAAAGTCCTTTAATATGGACACTTGGTTGTGCCTCTTGTCCTTCTGCTATAAAATATTTCCCTTTTCTGTTATAAAATACTTCAATCTCCTGTTTTGTACCATAAATTACTCCAAGATAAAGTCTTTGTTGTATCTATTATACTCCCAACACTCTAACAATGCTATAAAATACTCCAAGACGTAGTCCTGGTTCTCTCTTGTCTGCTATAAAAAAATTCAAGATGTCTCTTTTCCTTCTGCTGTAAAATAATTCAAGCTTAAGTCTTGGCTGTTTCTTTTTTCAACTATAAAAAATTCGAGATGTGTCCCATTTTTATTCTTACACAAATTGCTTCAAGACTTAGTCTCAGTTCTGTCTTACTTCTACTATAAAATACTTGATAAACCTGTCTCTCTTTTTCTGCCATAAAATATTCTTGTTTGTGTTTCCTTTTCTTCTTCTATATTAAACTCCAAGCTGAAGTCTTGTTCAATAAAATAATTCCAGATTAATTCTTGACTATTTTTTCTACTATAAACTGCTCCAAGATGAGGTCTCCCTTTTTTTGTACTATAAAATAAATTCAGATAAAGTCTCTGTGTTTCTCTGCTATAAAATACTTCAAGAGGAAGACTTGGCTATTTTCTTCTGCTATAAAGTGCTTTCAGAAGAAGTCTGGGCTGTTTTTGAAGCCTGTTTTAGGCACTTTTAAGCATTTGTGTTGCCTTTTTTTAATTTTTAATAAATTTAAATTTAAATTAAGAGCATATTTTTATGCTTTTATAGCTTAGCAAAGGCAACTCAAATTGTTTATATTCAATTAGATTAGAAACATAATTATCAAAATAACAAAACGAATTTGAATATATTTTTGAGTTTTCTTCTTTTATTCTTTATTTCATCATGAATATTTATCACAATAACCTAAGAGCTAGAAAAGTGTTGGACACTTTTTTTTTTTTCTTAACAATTACAATGGGTTTTGTCTGAAGGAATGATGCATGAACTTACTTAAATATTTTAAAAGAAACTGTATAAATATTAAAGACAATTATTGAAGGACAGTTGCTTAATGGGTGTGCGAGTGTATGTGTGTGTGTGCGAGTGTGTGTGTGTGCGAGTGTGTGTGTGTGTGTTTTATAAGTAAATGCTGCCCTTGATTCGCTACTTGACAGAGGACGAAAAAAAAAGCATGCGCCTTTGGCAACGCCAGCCGATCGGATACGGAAATGCCGATCAGCAGATTACTCCAACCCTTCCCTCGGCCCCCTCTCCTACATGCCCTCACAGGTGGCCATGCAGGTCTTGTAGCTGGGGAAATTGTTCTCGTTGCCATCACAGCCACCGAACTTGAATTCCACACACTTTTTCTGCTCCGGATCGTAGCGCCAACGTGGTATTAGGGCCCGACAGACGCCCTTGCGTGCCGGCATCATGCAGAACTGTTCCGGATGTGTATTGCGTCCGGTATTGGCCACATCGTCCAACGAGATGGCATCAAAGAAATCGCTAACATCATCGTACAGATCCATGGGCCGAGACTCGCTGCCTGCCAGCAGCAGCACGAGCAGCACGAGCAATGCTCCTTCGATTAATCTCAATTGGCTGGGGGCACACATATTCTGGCTACGGTTCGAACACTTTTCACGGTTGCGCTTCCTCTTCTTCTGCTTTAGACTGTTTTGCGTACACACTTGTTGTTGGCTCTTCAACTGGCGACTTGCGACTGATTGCATTAGCTGCTCCGCATTTGGTTTTATACCGCGAACGTGACGTGACGTGACTTGCGGCTCGATCGCCAGCTGCGGCTCGGGCTCTTTTGGGCGACTCTTAAAGTTGGTCAAGCAAACGAACGGCGTTGCCAGATCAGGCAAATAAGTATTGGAAATTACTGAAATATCTTTTCAATAATTGAAAATATTATTTAAAGGCGACTTGGCATTAAAAACTATTTACAATTTAATGGCAACGCCAATTTGTAGCTCTAATAAATGTTATTATTAATTTTTTTTGAACTAAAATAAATGAAAATATTATTTAAAGGCGACTTGGCATTAAAAACTATTTACAATTTAATACCAAGGCAAATTTGTAGCTCTAATAAATATTATTATTATTTTTTTTTTGAGCTAAAATAATTGAAAATATTATTTAAAGTCGACTTGGCATTAAAAACTATTTACAATTTAATGGCAAGGCCAATTTGTAGCTCTAATAAATATTATTTATTTTTTTTATTTTGAGCTAACACAATTGAAAATATTATTTAAAGTGGACTTTTTTGTGCCTGTCAAGCAAATCCATAGTAAATATTCTTTACGGACTGACGGCCGGCTTCTGTCACAGTCTCCCAGATAAGTACGAACCACTTGCTGCGCTCAAAGTATTGCCTGGATAATAAAATAAACAATTTTAGTGCTGTTGACTCATTTGAGAATTGTCTGTCCGTTCGTCCGACTGTCTGTCCGTTCGCCTCTTGGCCAGGGCAGCGCATGAGGAACGTGCCGCAGCCAGACGCCAGCTGAGCTGCGGCAGAGCAGCAGCAGAGGACAGCAGCAGAGGACAGCAGAAAGCAACAGTCAGCGCCCGGTAGCATTAATTTGTGCAATTGCCTCGACTGTTCACTCAAGGTAACGCACACGCTGCAGGTGGCAGCCTCTGCTGATGATGGGCGTGGCTGGGAGTGGGTGGTGGCAGCATATAGGTAATAGAGCCGCAGTTGCGTCTACGTTTGCTTTTGTGGCCATGATAAAAATTGCATGAGCTTGCACTTGGCATTTTATGCTGGGCGGCTGCAGCAGCAGCAGCAGCAGCAGCAGCAGACGTTCCCAAGTTGCAGTCAAATTTTCATTTTTCCGCTCACGTATTTCGATTAAATTCTCATTTTGGTCATAATTTTGCCGTTTTTACGTTTGCCTTGGCATTAAATTGCAACTTTTCCAACACCGCCATCATACGCTCTCTCTCTCTCTCTCTCTCTCTCTCTCTCGCCCTTTTTTACCACATCTTCTTTTTTTTGGGTACTTGAGAGTTGGGTGGCGTTGTTTATGTGCGTATTGAAATCATCAAGTTGGCCAAAAGTACATTTGGTAAATTAAAAGTTTTCTAGCCTGTTAACTTGGCTAATACACGCTTGACAGCCAGCAGGTTGGGTATTTGCTGCACTCGTTCGATTGTTGCCCCTTATTGTTGTTGCCACACATAAATCAATTTGGCTTGCGCGACATTTCTAGCCGGTTAGTTGGCAAGTTTTATGATTGCCGCATAAATCCGTTAACAAAGCCCAAAGCACCTGATACCCACTGTGTGGTGCGGCGTCGGCAAAGGCAGCCACTGTTTGGGCTAATTTTCCTTGGCACGCACACATTGGCACGTCACATTGGCAAATTCCCCATGAGCATTGAACAGTTGCATGCAGGAGCAGCATACACAAGCAGGAACTGGAACGGGAGCTGGAACTGAAGTTGGAACTGAAGTTGGAGCTGGAGTTGGAGCAGTCGCTGCTTAAGCTTAGCAATAAAGTTTTGTTATGTGCGCGTAATAAATTGAAAAATAGTGCGCGCAACAGCACAGCTGCACACACACAAACACACACATGTACACACAGTCGTGCTCAACTGTTGCGCATCTGCTGACACTGCCTTAGCCGTGGCACACGCAAATGCAGGCAAACGCATCTGACAATTGTAATCGAACTATTTTTTGTTGCTGCTGCCCAAGAGTATGCAACAATGTGCAGCGCTTACAAATGCGGCAGCTGATTTGCTGCATTTACTTTTAGGCTGCAACTCAAAATAACACACATTATTATATTTTTCTTATGATCAGTTGGTTTTATAAGCTAAGATAAGCTGTATATCGCCAGCGCAATGGAACGGATAAACGCATTGGCAGAGCGCAATTATCCGGAGAGCGCAAAGAAGATAATTTATTCATTCACCATTGATCCCATTTCATTGCAGACACAATAGAGAGCGCACATTATGAATGAGCGGGATGCTTTTGATCCCGTTATCTTTCTACAAAGCGCTCTCACAAGAAGAGCGCATTGCGAATGGTGTGAAGCGTGGGAGTTTTAATTGTTGTATGCTCTGACAGTTGTTGTTGTATTAGTGTGAGCGACGGCTTAGCGTAGGCGTAGCCTTAGCCTAATGAGGCAATTTAGTCAGTGCGCGTCTGTCCTGTCGATCGGTTGAGTCCACTGCGCGTGTGCATAAAGTCGTTTTCTAACGGAGTTAAATTATTTTTAAGGTTAAAGTGAATAGCTTGTGTTGTTTATATGCAAAGCAGTTTTTTAGTTGTGCGCTACCTTTAAGTTCATATCTACATATAAATCAATCAAGTGCGTGTGGTGTGATTTTTGGTGTGCAGCTTTTTTCTTGGTGCAAATTTGGCGCGCAATTCCATACAGAGAGAGAGAGAAGGAGAGAGAGAAAAAAGTGCATTACTCAAATTGGTAAGCGTGCTCTTTCATATATGTATATGTATGTGTATATGTATTTACAGTAATTGAGTAGAATACAGTTAGGTTTTTATCTCCCTTTTGTATTGTAATTTTGTAGCAAACGTTTAAGTAATATTAATGTTATGTTAATGTTAACAATTTTAACAATACGAAATTGCAATGAAAAGTAGCCAAGGAACAGGCCTATGTGTGTAATAATCTAGCTACAGGTGCACAGCGAAAATGTGGAACGCATCTCGTGTAGGCAAAATGCGAAGCCAATAAAATCACACAAAGTTACATGGAATAAACCATATTGGAATAATTTTAACGCCGCAATGTAATTAAATTACTTAGCCCGAGCACACGGCGAGTACAAAATGCAGTGTGCAAATCCCTTTTAAAAGGCCATAAATGCGCAATATCAGCAACAGCGTCCCCCCCCCCCCCCCCCCCCCTAGCCCCCTCGCCTGCGCCGCTGGGCATATTTCCAGGCGAAGCCACCGCAATAACCGCTGTCAATATGCGGATTAACGCATCAATTACATGACCAGGCACGGTCCGCAGTTGCAGGCCTCGAGCAGGATATCGTGTTTATTAAATTGACGCGCGAACGCGCGCGCGCGCGCGTGTGTGTGTGTTAAAAACAAATGAAAGAGAATGTAGACTGTTGCATGCGTGGCGCGTCAGCCGGCAAAAATGTCATTTGCGCAATAATTTAATTAATTGCAAAATGTGCAATCAGGCTGCCAGCCTTCGCGTAGACCGAGCAAAATTTAAATAAAACAATTTGAATTCCATTTTGGGCAGCTGACGTTGCCCTAAGCCCATTTACATTTATGATGCGTTTGGGGCTACGCAACAAAAACAAAAACGAAAAAAAAAGAAGAAGCAGAGCAACGAAAAGAAGCCCCACTTATAGTCAGGTCAGTGGCAACTAAATTAATTCGATAATTGACTTCCACTCTTTGGACTGCTCGTCCGCTCAGTTACACGTTTCGTTATTTTTTGGTTTTTGCCATTTCCCTGAGCTGGCTTTGTCGCCCGGACTGCCAGCCGGTTCCATGGGCCATCCACAGTTTGGCTCGTTTATTTTTTATGTGTGCAGAGAAAACATAAAAACGTCTGTTGCGTGTTGCATATGGAAAATTGCCAAAAGGCGGGCAGGGCCAGGGGCAGGGGCAGGCACTCCAAGCAGCGGCGAGTGCCCCAAGAAGAAGTTGCAAAAGGAAATGTAGCAAGTCGTAATGGTCCTGACAGCGCCCAAACACACAGGCATAAAAAACAATACAAGAAAAAAAAAACATATAAAAAATAAGTTAAAGAAAAAAAAACACTGAAATTCTGTTGCCCGTCCGCCTGGGACTTTTAATAGTTGTGCAAGTGCATGTGATTGCTTTATGGGATTTGGATGAACTTGGCGGCACGTGCCGCTTGGCATTTAGTTAATTATCGCAAATTAGCCAGCCATTGCGGCACAAATTGATTGCCCGACTGCTTAAGCATTCCAATTTGGCAAGAAAAACATTAATTGCAAAGTACTTGAAATAGTTACCAAAGATGAAGATTGCCTGCCGAAAGAAGCGCAGGAGATTGCAGGAAGATTTGCCGACGAATGCGAGCAAAATGATAGAAAGTGGGAGAAGAATGCTTGGCAAGATAAGTTATAGAAGAATGATGGAAGAATGTTACACAAATGTTAGAAGAATGTCACAAGAGAGCTGAAAGAACTACAAAAGGAACTTCTGAAGAAATCTGTAAGAATATTAGAGATGAACATAAGGGAAAAGTGCTCGAAGAATTCCCGAAGAATGCTAAAGGAAATTTGAAGAATTAGTTAAGAGTTTCCGAGAATTGCCGAAAGCTTGACAGTAGGTACCCAGAAGAAACCCAGAAGAATGGCAGCTGAATGGTAAACAATTTCGGAAAACTAACAGAAGAATTAGCAGAAAAGCAGAAGAAATTCAGAAGAATGTCAGGAGAATGATAAAAGAATTTCTGGAATATGCCAGAAGAATTACAGTAGACATGTAGAAAAAAATACGGAAGAGACCCAGAAGAATAATAGAAGAACTTCCGAAAAAAAAGCCCAGAAGAATTACAGAAGAAATTAAGAAGAAAGAAGGAACCCCAGAAGAAAGAAAGAACTAGGCCAAGAGAATGGTAGAGGAATTTCTGAAAAATGACAAGAAGAAACTAATGAAGTGAAACATGAAAGAAACCAAAGAAGAATCTCACAAGAATCAGAGAATAAACCTTGAAGAATGCCAGAGGAACGCAACAGAATCTGAGAGAATACAAAAAATTATAATTTCAGCGCTTAAAAATGAATGCTTGAATCTAAATTCAGTTTGTCGTTGACATTTGCGGCAAATGCAATTTCTTGGCATTGTTCGGCTTTGGGAATGCACTATTCATTCAGTTCTCTGTTCTGAGTTCTCAAATTCTCAAATTCTCGATAGATGCAGATACGTTTGCCAGGTCTCATGTTTATTTAATTTGATCAATTGGCGCAGCGTGTCACATAAATTTGTCCATTTTAAAAATGCACAAAAGACACTAAATTTGTCGGTTGTTTGCCAAGGCAGTCGGACACAAATGGCCGACGGCAGCCGCCACTCGACGACACTTGTGTAGACCAAGGGGGTGTGGCGGTGGGGGGGGGGGGAGTGGAGTGGCTGTAGAGTTGGAGGCGTACTAACTCCTTGACCTGGCCACGTAGCACATACGTCTCAACACCTTGGCAAATGAAAAGAAATTGCCGACATCGATGGGTATTGTATGGAATGCAGCTGCCCAAACGGGCAGCTTTTCTTTTTTATATATCTCAACGTTATATATATATATATATATTTTTTTTTTGTTTTTCTTATATGCAACAATTTCCCTGTTGTGCGCTTGCGGCACGTGAGCGGCATCCGCATGCTGGGCCACAGCCTTCGACTGACAACATACTTCAATGCAATTGCATTTAAATCAGTTGGTTGTGTGTGGGGCAGGCGTTGAGAGAGGGGGGGAGGGTGTGGGGTCGTAGCAAAGGAGTGTATGCGTGTGTGTGTGTGAGTGTGTGTGTGTGAGTTGAAGTCCTCTCGTGTGTTGCCGCCGTTTGCGCTGCGCTCATAAATTATGCAAAATTTTTTGGAGTCAACAGCACATAGTGCACATGTGTGTGTGTTGGTGTGTGTGTGTTGGTGTGTGTGTGTGTGTGTGTGGCGTATGCTACATTTGTTCATTTCGAGACCAATAAAATGAAACATTTCTAAGTAGTAAATATGCAACCCATCGACATTTTGTAACCGTGTGTTGTCTGCGTCTGCGGCTCGTAAACTGTTCGAGGCACAAACATTCTTTGGCTGTCCAGTAATTTTCCATTTACCATTCGCCCATTTTCCATTTTCTATTGCGCTTAATGAATTGCTTGTGTGCGGTTTGCAGCAGCGGACCTCAAAACATTTTGAATATGCATAAGCACAACACTTGGCCAATGCGTTTAACTAAGTTTGCAATATTTTTGAACATTTTTTCTTACACTTTTTTCTGATGTTCTTATTTTTTTTTGTTTTTTTTTTTTTTTTTTTTTTTTTGGAATTTTTACCAACGCCCGCAGCTGAAAGTGCAACACAAAAGTTTTTGTTTGGCTGTAACATAATATTTTACTCAAAGCGCACAAGAATATAAAAAATATGTTTTGGACGCAGCCCAAAAAAAATGAAGAAGAATAGATAGTCAGAGGGTGGGAGAGCGAGAGGGAGGAGGGGAGGGGGGAAAGTAAGAATAGAAAAAACAAACGAAATGGCTCGTGCCATGTCATGTTTTTTGATGCACGCCCGCGCTGCCAACGGTCCGGCATGAAGTATCCTGTTTTCCCGAGTATCCTTTTTCATTTTGTCATGTCGCTCTGTGCGCCCAGCCTCCTGCTCCTCCTGCGCTTTCCACTGGCCGTGGACAAGGCAAAAGTATTGAGGCATAAGTAAAAATTGCTGTACCATTTGCTCAAAAACTGTTGCCCGAGTCGTCGATGTGGAAACAGCAGCAGCAGCAGCCAAATGAACGGCTCAGCTTTAAGTTAAGACAATGCAGCCCGAAAAAAAAGCGGAGTAAATATGTTGGCGGCATGCCACAATGTGTGGCACGTGTCAATTAAGTCAGCTGAGTGATAAAAGTTATTAACAAAATTGGGTATTTCTTTTATGATAATAAATTAATAATATATATTTTTTGTTGTATAACCCGTAAGCTTGAAAATGGGTAAAAGGGTATATTGGTTTTGTGCAAAGGTATGTAACAGGCAGAAGGAAGCATCTCCAAGCCCATACAGTTTCTATATTCTTGGTCAGCATCAATAGTCCGTCCGTTCGTCTGTCCGTCCGACCGTCTGTCCGTCCGACCGTCCGTTCGTCTGTCCGTTTATCCGTCCGACCGTCTGTCCGTCCGTTCGTCTGTCCGTCCAACCGTCTGTCCGTCCGTCCGTCCGTTCGTCTGTTCGTCCGACCGTCCGTCCGTCCGTTCGTCTGTTCGTCTGTTCGTCCGTTCGTCTGTCCGTCTGTCCGTCCGATCGTCTGTCCGTCCGTCCGTCCGTTCGTCTGTCCGTCCGACCGTCTGTCCGTCCGACCGTCTGTTCGTCCGACCGTCTGTCCGTCCGTCCGTTCGTCTTTCCGTTCGTGAGTTTAAGCGTAGATTCTGCCCTGATCCGCACTGTACGAGTTCCCATTATCGATGACGTACTCCGTATCCAAGAAATCTATAAGAATCGATATCGGAAACGTTTTTTGAGCATATTTCATAAGTTTTAGGAGTCACAAATATGACATATAACTTATGGTAGAGTCTATAAGTTGGTGCAGGGTATCTGCGGACTTTAAATAGGAATTGAATGGGGCTCATGATTTAATTAGTTGTCTTTCAAATCATGTCAAGTTTATTCCCATTTAAAGTGACGTCATTATTTATAGTTTATTTTCAAATATTCCAATTATGATCTTTCCTTTATGCCAAAGAACTTGATTGTCCTAAGTGTGCGTCTCTTGGGGCTGGCAATCTATTTAATTTGGATAGCTTTGTTTGGCTTTGGATTGGCGCTTCAGTCAAGCCGCAAAACTTTTAATCAAGCCGCTAATTACATTAGTTTTAACTGTGGTTCACTGCGAAAGCGGTTGCACGAGAGATACTTGTTGTTGTTGCCAGCACATTTGATAATATTCAATTATTTCGAGGCGTGCATTGTGCTGACTTTGGCATTGATACACACACGCACACACATACACACACGCAACCAGACAAACAGACAGCCAGGAGGAAATAGGAAATGTTATTGTCGTTGCGCATACGCCCCCATGGCCGCGTTCCCAGCCAGCTCCGTTTGCTTGCTGGGCAAAAGTTTTGGCATAAAACAAAAATGTGATTTACATGGGGAAACGCAGCTAACAATGCGACTGCCATGTGTGCGCGTGTGCGCGTGTGTGTGTGTGTGTTGTGTATTGGCAACAAAGAACATTTCATGTTAAACAGCTGGCAGCGGCTGTCGGAAACCGCCGCCGTGCAAAAACTTGCACACAATGCCACATGGATGCTGCACTCGACTCACGACTCTTTGCCTCTTATCAGTGGCTGTCAAAAAGTTGGCTTCCTTCCCCTCCCACCCCTCGCTCGGAGCAGCTCTCCTGGACGACAACCTGTTGCCAAGTTAATGAAAACTCAATCGCAGGCAGTTGGCGCAAAACTTTTCAATTGAATTCGTTTTGCAGTCGGCTTTGTATACATCATATATATGTATAAGTATATATTTTGTAAGTCAATTTAAACTCGTCTCAGCTGGTGAGCATGATCTTTCTACAGTTCTGGTGGACCCTAATGGTGCTCACAGGCACCACCAATACCCTGGCACCGCAGGCAGAGCCGCAGGCGGGCAGCGAACAATTGCGCAGCTTTCACAATTCCGTGCAGGAGGCGCACGAGCAGCTGCACGAGATTCGCTCCAATTATGGCGATGTGCAGGGCGCCGAGCTATATAGGCATAGACGCAACAGCATAGACGATCTGCTGGCCAGTTTCGCACAGGCCGGCGAAAAGGAAATCGCGCCGGAGAAGGATGACAAGGAGCTGCAGCAGGCGGCCGATGATTGGTTTCGTGATATGCAAGCGGGCGTGGTGCATGTGTTGCCAGCAGCAGGTGCGGGGGAAGTAGCCGGAAAAGCCGGCGGAGCCGCAGCAGCAGGAACAAATGAGGATGCAGTAGCAGCAGCTGCTGGCGCAGCAGAGGAAACCTCAGCGTTGGTTGATTCCGCCTCCGGCAAATACTCACGCGGCACTGAGAAGCTCAAGTCCAGGGTGTATGGGGACAGCTATGGGAAAGCCATGGAGCAAACCGAGATGGGCAAGGTTAAGAAAAAGTACCAGGACTTGACGGATATGAATCTGCCCGTCAAACATTTGCCCGAGAAGCAGCCGTACGAGGTGATACGCGGTGGCGCCACCGAGCTGGACATAAAGCTGAAGCATGTGCAGCGGCTGCTGCACAATCAGGAGATGGAGCAGAGTCGAGCAGAGGAGCGAAAGCAGGCCAAGTCAAACAAGGAGGCCGGCCAGCTGCCACAGTATGGCGATGAGCCAGTGCCCGATGGTGTCTACGAACAGACGCTGGCACGCCTCCAGGTCGCGCGCGTGTCCAATCCCAACAATCTGTCACACGAGGCCAACTACAAGCTGTCCAAGATCGAACAAGAGGCAGCCGAGCAATCGGCCAAAACGCGCTATCCCAGCGGCATCCTCAAGAAGCGCAGCTCCACCAGCGGCTTCAATCCGATGAACGAGATCAAGCTGAAGACGAGCAACAGGCTGATGCGCAAGGGCATGGGACCCTCGCTGCCCAGCAATGCGCTCACGGATACGCTGCGCGCCCACTACGTGGACGATATAATAATGCGACGCGAGCGGAAGCTGGAGCGGGAGCGTCACAAGGCACAGCAGCAGCAGCTGCAGCAGCGGCAGCTGGATGGCGAGGAGGAAAAGATTTCACCGGTATCATCATATGATACGCTCAACGCGCTCGATAGCAGTGTCGGCTCCAGTCTGGATGCCCCGAATGTCCATTTAATGGACATGCCCCAAAGCTACGATTATCATTTGCCCCATTTTGAACAGTTTCCCGCGCTTAGTCAGCAGCGCAGCTTGCCCAATCTGCGGGACTATGCACATGCGAATGCCAAGCTGAAGGTGGAGCGAGATCGCTACAAGCGTCATCCGGAGCAGCTGCTGGAAACTGATGCCCAGCTGGAGCAGAGTGAAGCCGGCTTGGCTAAGGCAGAGCAAGGTAAGGACAAACTGCCAGAGGCGGAGGATCTAATGGCCAAGCTGTCTGCCCCTGCGGCAGCAGGCGACAAAGTGCAGGCCAAGCTGGACATGGCACAAGCTAATGCGGCCAAAGAGGAGCAACAAACAGCAGCTGTCAAAGCCGAAGCCGTCGATCCCATTGTGGAGCCCAAGCCGCAGGGTCACACACAAGTCAAGGAAATTGCAACGGATGTCCAGTCAGCGGATAAGCAACTGCAGGCGGTCAATGTTAATGAGCCCAAACAGCTGCGGGCACAGGCGCAGATGCAGATGCCGGAGACTCAACTAATCAATGAAGCCAAATCGCAGTTGGTGAACAAGGCGCAGCCGATGGGTCAGCTGGCGGCCAAGCAAAAGGACGATGGCTTACAGAAGGCCAACAATGGCAAGCTGAAGCGAGAGCAGCCACATAAAGTGGCAGAGCTGGGGCCACGCAGCGGCATCTGCAAGAGTCATCCGGATGCCGTAGTCAAGCTGCTGGCCAACAAGATCTCACAGCATTCCAGCGACAAGGATCGCGACAAGCGTCACATCAAGCGCTGGAGCTGGCACAGAGTGCATCGCCAGAAGGCCAACCACAATGCCAACGTGGCCAATGAGACGCCACATTATAAGCGACGCAGCAAACGTTCTGTGGATCAGGCGCCAGTGGAGACACAAGCGGAGCCACTGTCAGAAGGACAGTCGGATCCACAGACACGCACGCACGCGGAGGGACAGTCAGAGGGTCTGTCGGAGCCACAGGTGGCGGGACAGTCGGAGGGGCAGTCCGAGTCCCACTCGGAGGGACAGTCGGATGCACTATCGGAGCCACAGCCGGAGGGTCAGTCGGCGCCGCAATTGGAACCAGAGCCAAGATCTAAAAGACAACCAAAGTTGGAGCCACAAGCCGAGGCACAGTTGAAGCAACAGGCGGCTGCCGAGGCAAATGCACAGATGGGGCCACAAGCACAATCACAGTCGGATCTTCTGCCGGAGGAACAGTCGGAAGGGCAGTCGAATAGACCGCCACAGTCCCAGGCAACGCCGGAGTCACAGTCGGAGGCACAGTTGGACGCACAGTTGAATCCACAATTAGAGCCGCAGCCACAACTGGAGCCGCAATCTGAGGCACTGTTGGAGCCGCAGGACGCCAGGAAGCGCAGCTCGAAGCTGTTGGATTCCTTTGAGGATCATAATGGCAATCGCGTGGGTTTTGGCAGCTTGGGCAACGGCATGTTAACGCTAGAAACAGAGGAGGACAACGAGGGCGATGGCCTGCCCTATCCGCGACATCAGCGCTCGATCTTTAAGAAAGAGGAAGCAGCACAGGAAGTGGGCACCGTTGAAAGCAATACGTTCTCCAATTCGCGTTATCAGGTGCCCATGATGAATCAGCGCAACAATAACTTGGTCTATCAGCAGCAGCAGCAGCTACAGCAACATCAACTACAACAGCCGCAGCCTTTTGTACCGCAGCAACAGTTGCTACCGCAACAGCTGCAGCCATGCCAGCCGCAAGTGTTGCAGCGACAACAGCCGCAACAGCAGCAGCTGCAGCTGCAGCAACAGCAACAGGCCAACAATTTTAAGGCCAACTTTAATTTGACGCACTTGTTCAACGAGCTGTCCAAGCTGCAGAAGCCGCCATTGGCGCAGCAGCAGCAAGAGCTGCAACAGCAGCAGCAACAGCAGCAGCAACAGCAACAGCAGCAGCCACAGTTGCATCAGCAGCAGCAGCAACAGCTTATGCCACAGCAGCATCAGCAGCAGCAGCAGGCGGCGGCGACAAGTCTGGAAACCAATCAACTGAAACCCTTGTATGGCGTGCATCGTTATTTCGGGCCACTCTTCAACAAGGGCAACAAGCTGAACGTGGTGAATGATCCTTGCGTAACAATAACAGCAGCGGGAACAACAGCTGCTGCAGCCGGCGGCAGCACCTTAAATCCGGACTGTGTGCCCATCTCAACCGAAGCAACTGGAACCACTGCAATACCAGCCGGAGAAGAGCAACAGGCATCGAATCCCTGCAACAGTCCCGATGCAGTCAAGCTGAATGTGTCCCTAAATGCGCGCGTCTGCTCCGATCCGCGAACCAAGCAAATCTATGGCAACGGTTCGATTTGTGTGCAGCCAAGCCAGCAGCGACTCAATGCGGACGCCTACTATACGCTGCAGGATGCACTGGTCGATGACAACGAAGAGGATCTGGACAGCGAGGAGCGTTACTCGCGGCAGGCCAGGCAGCGCAGCGAGGAGGAGTGCAAGGACAGGCGCAAGTCGAAGGGCAAAAAGGGTCACGCGCCGGGCGGCAAGCGGGCCGAAAAGAAAAAGTCAGCTGCCGCCAAAAAAGCTAAAGCCGAGCAGGCCAAGAGGTAAGTGCCGGGATGGGGGCGGGGGTAAACAGTTGGCCCGCAACTAAAGCTAATGCCCAGCAGCAGCAGCAATTGCACGGGCGATCCAGATGGCAAGCCTGGCGCCGAGTGCACTGCGGGCGCTCGCAAATTGGATCTAAACGAACCATATTCCGAGAATTATAACAAGCTGCTAACGGGTCGACTGTCCGAGGATATTGTGACGGCTGTCTTCGATATGGTCGGCAACGATCCCAGCCTGGATGCGCTGATCCCGGTGCTGACGCGTAACAACAAGTGCGCCGCGAAGCATCCCAAGAATTTCTATCAGATACGCAACAATAAGAACGAGAAGGATCTGCAGGAGAAGGAGGAAATGCTGCGTCGCACCATAGAGTCGATTAGCGATATAATCGATAAGCAGATGCAACAGCGCAATTGCATTCCATTGCGTCCAGATCTGGTCGAGTTCTACAACATCATCATGAAAACGATGGCCGAGCAGCAGAAGTCGCGTGACAAACGTGAGGCCAATTTGCGTGTGCTCGCCGATGATTACGACCAGAAGTTGCGCATCCTGGACCCGGCGAACATTGAGCAAAAGTCACGTATTGTCAAGAAGCTGTTGCGCCAGTACGAGGAACTGCCGCTGGAGGAGCAACAGCATGCGGCCAGTGTGCGGGACGAGCTGCTCATGGATCTGATCTATTTGCGCAAAATGTCGGACACGCTGGAGCGTGGGCAGCGCAATGTCCAGCTGCAGAATGTGCTGCGCAAGAGCAGCATCAGTGACGATGCCGATGATCAGCAGGCTTATCAGGATTATACGCCACGCTTTATCAAGCTGCTCAGGACGGCGGAGATCTTCAAGGAGGTGGGCGAGCAGCAGGCAAGGGCTTTTATTGGTCTTTAAATCCAATATTTTTCTTTCTGTTTTTTCTCTTCATTTGATTATTAAAATTATTCTATTTTTATATATGTTATGGGCTTTTGAAGAAGTTCAAATTCATATTCAGAAGTTTCATTTATATTCCGCCAAAAGCGGTGAATTTGCAAAAACTTACATTTTACTTTCGCCCATTTTGCGCAAATGGTGAATTTTTTGAATATCTGCAACAACAGCTTCTGGGCTGTCGACTTAGGAAATAGTCAGCTCCTGGCTCAGATATTGTTGAACTCCTCTCTAGCCAATATAATGGGTCAGACCCAGGTTGGCGCCAAAGTCGGATCTGCCGTTGAGCGGACCGCTCATCCACTTGGAGGCGGTGCTGCTCAGATTTAGGCGCGTATTGCGATCCTGCGACTGCCAGAGATTGGCACGACCGGCCAGCTCCAGCTGCTTGCCAAAGCCGGGTATATTGCTGTGCGTCACGCTGGCGCCATGTCCATTGATATGGGCATAGTCCAGGGCGGCGCCATTGCGATCGAACTTGAAGCCGTTGGCCAGCTGATTCTGTGAGGCGAATGCCTTGGCATCCACATTGTGAACGCCATCGTTGAACAGATTCGCAATCGCCGTTTGCTGCAAGCTGTCCCGCACGCCCGGCGTGTGCGTCTTGGTCAGCTCCGCGCCCAGTCCCTGACTGTGTGCAATGGATATTAGTTGAGATTTTTGACCCTGTGTGCAAAACTTACTTGTTGTAGGCCAAGGTGGCGCCGCTGGTGACGGGCTTGGCAGCGGGTCCGCCGGCTTCTGTATTGCCCGCAGCAAACACCTGGCCAATTAGATTGTGCTCCGGCGTGCCCAAGGCCTTGGTCAGATCCAGGCGCGCATCAGCGCCACCCGCCGGATTCGAGGTAAGCGCGCCGCCCAACACCTGACGGCGCACACGCACCGTCGGATAGTTGACCAGGTGCGCTGGCTGTGGCTGCATTGGTGCGCCAGAAACGCCCAGCAGCCCAATGCAGCTGACAATGATGCAGGTGGCAAACATTTGAGTCATCTTTTTGATTTGATTTGGATTTGATAATTGGTTCGATTGCTTCAAGCTGTTGCAGCTGATTGCTGATGCTCTGTTGGAGTCCATATGGCTTTTATACTAGCTGCCGTTGCGGTTGTGCTTTCCTATCACGATGTGGTTTACATTTGTTTGCACTTGTTTGGGGTCGCCTTTGCTGATAACGTTTCGGCCGTTTGGGTCTAATCGGGGACTTACATTGCGACCAAAGTAGAAGAAAAGCCCCACTTGCTACTTGAACACATGACTCTGCCCAGCATAAGCCAGCTCGTTAAGATCAATCAATTATGGTTAGCTCTTAGGAATAACTAGAAAGACTTTTGCGCTACGGCTTTCAAGATATGTGAGTATAGGGAAGCTCGTAAATGCTGTTTGATGAAAATATCTTGAAAAACAAAATACTTTGCCATACAAATACTCATTTTTCAACCGATTCCTCCTATAGAGCTATATAATATATAGTAGTCCGATCTTGAAGATTTCATATATAAGTAGCATAGCTTAACTAGTAAATGGTTGGTTCAACTGCGATATCTCGAGCTTAAGTTTTGGCCGATCGTTCCTATGGAATTATATTTACCTCTATTCAATACATTATTGCACGAATCAATATACCCTGCTTACACATTTCAATGGGTACAGCGGGCAATGAAAAGTTATTTCAAATACATAATGCTTGATGTAGCCGGACCTGGTTCTTCTTGCCATTTGCGTACATTTGCATACCCCATTTAGACACATTCACTAGATATAGGGTATTATTAAAACATTTTTTATATTCATACTGCTTTATGAAGTCGAATCTGGTTGAATAAGTCTGTCGCATAGCTTGGCACATAATCATTATACCCTCTTCACATATATTAAATGGCTAAGGGTATACTCAAAAATTATTTTAATCCGTAATACTTTCTGGAGTCGCATATGGGTTAATCTGGCTGTTGCATAATTTGCACGAAATCAATATACCCCATGAAAACTTAGCAATAGGTACAGCGTATATAATAATTATTTGAAATCCATAATTCTTTATGAAGTTGGAGCTGGATCATTCAAAGTTTTCACATAACCTATTTACCCTACGTACCCGCACTCAACGTGTACAGGGTATAATTTAAAATTACTTTACTCTGGGCTTCAACGGTTTTAAGGCTATAAGACACTTGGCAGGAATTAGTTTTGAAATATATTCGCAACTCAATTTGTGTATTGAAAAAAAATTCCAAATTTTTTGTGTATGTAACAAATGAGAAAAACTTTGATTTAATTAACTCAAAAGGGTTTTATAAAACGTAACAGAAAAGGAAAAATAAAGCAACTTAATTGAGAGCAACTGCGACAAAATGCATTCGCTGTCCGATCGTTGGCGCCTAATGCTGTCGCTCCGGAAGCAGATCAGCCGCAAGACCAACCGGCTGATGAGATACAAAAGGCAGGCACGTCAGCGCCTGAGCTCGATGCGACAGATACGCCAAGTGCTGCTGGACAATCTGCGCAAACTGATCGACATGAAGCTGACGGACACCAAAGTGTTGGCCACGGCCCAAATGAAGGCGCAGTTCAGTCGCACGTGGCAGATGTACACAAAATGGTTGCGCAATTGCCAGAAAATGCACAGAAGGGAGCTGCAGAATGTTCAGAGTTTGCGCAAACAGGAGCTCGCATTGAATGAGCGTCTGCGTGAATTGCGCAAACAATATAGAGTATTGCCCAAACGGCAGCGGTTGATCGCAAACGCCGTTCGCCATGTTCAACGTGTCGTCCGCAAGCGGCACAAGCGATACGGCGTCTGGGAAATGATGATGAAGTACAGCAAGGCAGAAACTGAGCAGATACGCAAATATATGATGAGCGGTGCACGGAAGCCCAAAAGGCGATGGCATTTCAATAAGGATAATATCAGTGAGTTTAGCAACTTCTGGAATGTCGAGGTGCTGCGCAAGGGGCACGACAAGCGCAAGCAACGGCCGCATCGTCATTTGATAACCCAACGCATTGAATTACCCGAAGATTTCATACCCAAGCCCTATCACGTAAAGCATAAAGTTAAGCCCAGGGTGTCCATAGCGCGTGGCAAGCAATATTACATGAACTCTCTAAATGAAATCCTCTCGTTCAAGCAATTGCAGCACTTTAAACGAAAGCTGCGTAAAATTATGGAACCGGTCGTCGATAAACCGAAAAAGCCCAAACGTGAGGAGCATAATCAACCGGCATTAAGACGCCAGAGATCCAAGCGAGGAATGAAGATAACAGTCGAGGAGATGCTGGACCTTGATGTGGATCTGAAGCAAAAGCTGGAACCAAAAAGAGTCACGCAGCCAGTCTATGGCAGCGATCAGCTGATCAGATTCCAAAAGGAAATCCAAACGTTACGCAAGTCGGTAACATCAATGGGCAGCGTCGGCCGACCTTCACTGCTATCGCGTCGGAGTCAGTCGAGCAAACGCAGCTCCCGCCTGAAATCGCTGCAGCAGATTAAGTTGACGATGTCAGCAAAGATCCGTGACAAGATATCGAAAATGCACAGCAAGATGCAGGACAAGGAGCCGTTAAAGAAACCGGCGGAACCAATAGCTGAACCAGAAAGGCGGTCAAGCACTGACATTTGGCAGCCCCCAGCTGAGGTGGAGTTGGAGAAAGCTATCGATTCGGTGGCATCATCGAGCATTGCCATAACACCCAAGGAACGTGTTACGGACGATGTTAATGAGCTGTTGCGCAATAAATCTGTGCCCGCCGGCATTAGGCAGGAACTGAAGAATGCCCAATGGCGTCTCTTTCTGACGAATGCGTCCAGAATGAAGCGGCGTGCCGGACAGGTGCTAATGAATATATTTGAAACGGATGACAGTAAAAAATATCGACCAATTCAAAGGCTGCTCAGGGACGTAATACAGGGACCCAGCATGATGGACATATTGGCCGACAAAAAGACCATTGTCGAAGCCGTGCACAAGCATTATATGTGGAAAAATTTGTACAGCGTCTATCAGGATTTAAAGGGTGTGGGCATACCCAAAGGTGACATATTTAATATGTTGCGCGAACATTATCTAAAATATATCAACGAAATTGTCAGCGAGGCCATACAAAAGGGCGCCAAACTATCGGTGATCGATCAGGGCAGCCCTTTGGCGCGACAGAAGAGCAATGATTCCTTCGATCAATATCTAGATGAGAAGATAGCAGCGCGTGCCGCGATCAATGATCGTATTATAAACGAGCATATTTTGCGCAAAAGTAAAATGTCGACAGTGTCCACGGATGACAGTCGCTGGAGCGGCGTCTCATTGGAGTCCCTGACCAACAGGCAGCTGAAGCGCATGGATGATCGCTACTCGATGCGCTATTTGCAGAGCATATGGGCGGCCCATGCCCGATACTTTAACCGGGACAAGCGCGAATCGATGTTTTCGAGCGTTCAGGCTGACGACACGCTGAGCGAGCGGCTACCTGGAGACAGTTCGTGCCGGCGCAAGGTTAGCAAGGGGCAAAGGCCCCAAGCACAGCAGTTGAGAAAGCGCAAAGTTCACCTTCAGCGTTTGTATTACGAGCCGCGTCGCACCTGCCGCCAGCGGCAGGTGGATGAGGAGTGTGCCATCTGTGAATGTGATGCGCAGAAACTAGAGAAGTGCATACGCTGTGGCATTGAGCTGCCCCATCTGCCGACCAGTTCAGAGCCGAGCAGCATCGATCTGTGCCTGTCCACGCCCACGCTGGCCGCCTGCGTGCACAATCCGCAGATGTTGCAGGCCGCAGCAGATATCTGCCATGTGTGCGGCTATGTGCACGAGCCGCAATCGGGCTGCTTCATGCTGGACATAGATGTTGCTCCCGGTGGCGCTCTGCAACAGCTGCGACGGATCAAGGAGTATGCGAACTGTGTCCAGCAGCGGCAGCAACAGCTCGACCAGAGTGCGGACAGCATTTGGCTGGCGGCCGTACGGAGTTGTGCATCGGCCAGCGAGGCGTGTGCCTGATCTCGGTGTGGCATGAGGTGTTGCAAGTGCAGCGGCATGCAGCAAATAAAACCATATTGCATAGCTGAGCTGACAACACTTTGTGCCGCAACACAGCTGCAACTGTTGCTGCCGCAGACGCTGCTGTTGCTGCCACATTCGGTGGCAAATGAAACATTTTGTTTAAGTGCTAAATAAATTCAAGTAATGAGTTTGCAGCAGAGTCGAGTGTGTTGGGCGGCACGTTAAATGCTCGCCAAGTTTCATAAAATATGCAAAACGCCAACACACATACAACACACACACACACACGCACACACACATGCGGGGTATGCACTCACGTAGCGCTTGCCTTTTAATACACTCTCCTTCGCAGCGAATTTTGGCTTTTTCATTTTTTGGCCAAGTTCTGAAGTCAAGCGGCTGTAATGGAATTTTATTGCAGCACTCGCATTCTGTTTGCGCAGGCGAAACATGTACCAGACATTTTCATAAACGTTCCAAACCGAAAGCCAACAAAAAAAAAAGTTCTTTGGAAAATAGCTCGCCAAGATTTGCTCAACTTTTAGCCTTTAAGTTCTTTTCTTTTCTTTTCTTTTCTTTTTTTTCTCTCGCTTAAAGTGCGACCGAAAACTTGTCGAAGGCCAAATGCAATAAGGCTGTAAATTGATGCCCGTGATCAATCATTTGGTTGCCAGCGCATTTGGCCAGAATGTGGCGGCACTTTCATTTTGGCCAGTCAGCTAGTCGGCCAAGAAGATGGCCAAAACCCACCCACAGCAAGCGCCACGCCAAGCCGCATATTGCTGTGGCCAGTCAGCGCGTAAGTTGAGACGTTTTCATTTGCATTTTGTGCCAAAAAGGAACTTAAATCCAAGTGAGATCACAGGCGGTGGACTGCTAGATACCCTAGAAAAATGAAAAACAAGTTCTTAAATGTAGCAAACTTTCGAGATCCAGTTGGTCTTAAGAACAAAATTCAGGGTTCAAGTACTCGACTTGCTTGAGAGCTTGGTATTGTTCGAGCTTAATTTCAGAGGAAGTAGGGTTTATTAAAATACAGCTTTTAGCTTTAGACTAAATTCGTAAAGGAAAGAAAAACAAAATATTCAAGCTTATTCGTTGGTATTCAGCAGTCTTGGACTTCGATATCGATGTATATATATATTATGAACTTTGTCTTGATTGCAATGAAATGTTAGCTTAAATTAAGAAACCCGCTTTTCGAAATTGAAATTGCGCGGCCTTTTTTTTAAAGCTTATTTTCTGTCAAATCATTGTAATTAATTTTACTATCTATCGATTTATTTTTCAAAATTTAAAAATATTAATATGCAAAATTGATAGGAAAAAGACAAAAATCTTGGGAAAATGTTGTGATATATATATTATAATGTCCTTGGTGTATGTGCCTTGCAATTAGGCAACAGTTTTTTTTCCGGTATTTTTTTTCGAGGGTATCTAAAGTGGGGGAATGCGTTCGCCCATGCCCAACGTCATGCTGCTCAATTTGCGTTGACTGGCTGTAACATTATCTTGTTTGCTCACGACACGCGCCGCAGACGCATCGAGTCCAGAAGGCAGCCAGACTCTGGCTGGAGAATGCGGAGCTGGTGGCATGTTTGCAGCTGCTTTGGCATTGTCCGGCTTTGGCATTTCGCTCATTTTACTTGGCTGCGGCTTTTGTCATTTTTCTTCGCGCTTTTCCTAGCCATTTTTTTTTTGATTTTTTTTCCATAAGTCATTTGTGATTTAAGTCTTTGGCTTGTCAAAACAAATGAAATGGAGCGTTGAAATAACTGACAGTCCGAGCTGGCCAATGGGCTTGTTCAGCTACAATAACTGGTAGAAGAAGAAGAGGGGGAAGATGAGGGGCAAGCTGGAGCAGCAGCCAGCAGGCATTCGGCTGCCATGTTCTGTGCGCATTTGGAATCCGGGTAATTGCATTTTATTAGCGCTTATCGCTTATCGTTGACAGCCATTGTCAAACGCATTGTCATGTTGCAGTCGAAATTTAATTAATTTCCATTCAAGCCACACCCCCCGCCCATGCCTGGACTGGACGTGTAAGTAGCTGCTTAATAAAGCCTCGACAAACATATTTCACAAGAATTCATAACAAAGCATGCAAAACGCAAACACACAAAATAATAGAAAGAATTCCCACACTCTTTGGCACACTTACATGCTTGCAGGGAATACCTCTATTATTATTGGACTCAGGTGTGGGCGGTGCGCAGTGCTCAGACCAAGTATCTGGCCACAAAGCGGCTACAAATTACGCAGCTTAGAATATGGTACGAAAAAATAAAGAAGAACAAGTTGTCCAAAAACAAAAAGATAAATGTGCCGGGCTGCTTACTACGGCTTACAATGCGTCCAACTAATTGAATAAAGTGGCCTCTAAATTGCTTTTGATTTTCATTTTGACCAAATGCTGGCTGAAATTTAAGACACACTTTTCATTTAAAGAACATAAGTAAATAAAGTGTACCTGCCTTTTATTGGAGGTAGTATTTAATTGGATATGATTGTAAGGAGTGTCCGCTTCGGAAAGTTTTAACTGAATTACAGCCAGTTTGTTTGTTCAATCATAAAAAAGAGCTAGATTTGGCTCGAACAGCCAAAAAGATCTACTAACAAGTAAGAGGTTCTAGTCGGGAGCTCCCGACTAGGGGATACCCTGAACCCTCTTCTTCCAACATCAAATGCATATATACATATATTCTATTTTAGAAGCTATATGTCAAGTTTGGTAACTCTAGCTCTTATTATTTACCAAAATTACCCAAAAAACAGGATATCGATATAGATTTTTATCGATTGCTTGGAAACGGAGCAAGTTATCGATTATCGGAAACAAACTCGATCTGCGCGGGAGCTAGGAGAATCTATATCTAAAATTCAAGTCTCTAGCTCTTATAGGTTCTGAGATCCTTGCGTTCATACATAAGAACCGATGGACGGACGGACGGACGGACGGACAGACAGACGGACATGGCAAGATCGACTCGAATATATATACTCTATGGGGTCGGAGAAGCCAAACCTGTTGAAAATCGGTTGAGTTTTGACTAAGTTATGGGAGTGGGAAATTTTGACCTATAGGATATATGTATATGTAGGATATTTGAGGGTACCATGTTCACATGAATTTTGACCAAAATTTTTTGTTGTCAGATTTGAATGCCAAATTGATAAAGAGGTCAAACCATGGACAAAACGCCAAACCTTTCGAAAATCGGTTGAGTTTTGACCGAGTTATGGGAGTTGGAAATTTTGACCTATAGGATATATGTATATGTAGGATATTTGAGGGTACCATTTTCACATGAATTTTGACCAAAATTTTTTTTTGTCAGATTTGAATGCCAAATTGATTAAGAGGTCAAACCATGGACAAAAAGCCAAACCTTTCGAAAATCGGTTGAGTTTTGACCGAGTTGTGGGAGTTGGAAATTTTGACCTATAGGATATATGTATATGTAGGATATTTGAGGGTACCATTTTCACATGAATTTTAACCAAAATTAATGTTGTCAGATTTGAATGTCAAATTGATAATGAGGTCAAACCATGGATAAAAAGCCAAACCTTTTGAAAATCGGTTGAGTTTTGACCAAGTTATGGGAGTTGGAAATTTTGACCTATAGGATATATGTATATGTAGGATATTTGAGGGTACCATTTTCACATGAATTTTGACCAAAATTAATGTTGTCAGATTTGAATGTCAAATTGATTAAGAGGTCAAACCATGGATAAAAAGCCAAACCTTTTGAAAATCGGTTGAGTTTTGACCGAGTTATGGGAGTTGGAAATTTTGACCTATAGTATATATGTATATGTAGGATATTTGAGGGTACCATTTTCACATGAATTTCGACCAAAATTAATGTTGTCAGATTTGAATGTCAAATTGATAATGAGGTCAAACTATGGACAAAAAGCCAAACCTTTTGAAAATCGGTTGAGTTTTGACCAAGTTATGGGAGTTGGAAATTTTGACCTATAGGATATATGTATATGTAGGATATTTGAGGGTACCATTTTCACATGAATTTTGACCAAAATTAATGTTGTCAGATTTGAATGTCAAATTGATTAAGAGGCCAAACCATGGATAAAAAGCCAAACCTTTTGAAAATCGGTTGAGTTTTGACCGAGTTATGGGAGTTGGAAATTTTGACCTATAGTATATATGTAGGATATTTGAGGGTACCATTTTCACATGAATTTCGACCAAAATTAATGTTGTCAGATTTGAATGTCAAATTGATAATGAGGTCAAACCATGGACAAAAAGCCAAACCTTTTGAAAATCGGTTAAGTTTTGACCAAGTTATGGGAGTTGGAAATTTTGACCTATAGGATATATGTATATGTAGGATATTTGAGGGTACCATTTTCACATGAATTTTGACCAAAATTAATGTTGTCAGATTTGAATGTCAAATTGATAATGAGGTCAAACCATGGACAATAAGCCAAACCTTTTGAAAATCGGTTGAGTTTTGACCGAGTTATGGGAGTTGGAAATTTTAACCTATAGGATATATGTACGTACATATATGTAGGATATTTGAGGGTACCATTTTCACATGAATTTTGACCAAAATTAATGTTGTCAGATTTGAATGTCAAATTGATAATGAGGTCAAACCAAGGACAAAAAGACAAACCTTTTGAAAATCGGTTGAGTTTTGACCGAGTTATGGGAGTTGGAAATTTTGACCTATAGGATATATGTATATGTAGGATATTTGAGGGTACCATTTTCACATGAATTTTGACCAAAATTTTTTGTTGTCAGATTTGAATGCCAAATTGATTAAGAGGTCAAACCATGGACAAAAAGCCAAACCTTTTGAAAATCGGTTGAGTTTTGACCGAGTTATGGGAGTTGGAAATTTTGACCTATAGGATATATGTACATACATATATGTAGGATATTTGAGGGTACCATTTTCACATGAATTTTGACCAAAATTAATGTTGTCAGATTTGAATGTCAAATTGATAATGAGGTCAAACCATGGACAAATAGCCAAACCTTTTGAAAATCGGTTGAGTTTTGACCGAGTTATGGGAGTTGGAAATTTTGACCTATAGGATATATGTATGTATTTGTAGGATATTTGAGGGTACCATTTTCACATGAATTTTGACCAACATTTTTTGTTGTCAGATTTGAATGCCAAATTGATTAAGAGGTCAAACCATGGACAAAAAGCCAAACCTTTTGAAAATCGGTTGAGTTTTGACCGAGTTATGGGAGTTGGAAATTTTGACCTATAGGATATATGTACATACATATATGTAGGATATTTGAGGGTACCATTTTCACATGAATTTCGACCAAAATTAATGTTGTCAGATTTGAATGTCAAATTGATAATAAGGTCAAACCATGGACAAAAAGCCAAACCTTTTGAAAATCGGCTGAGTTTTGACCGAGTTATGAGAGTTGGAAATTTTGACCTATAGGATATATAAATTAAGATTTAAATGATAGTCCTCGCGGATTATCTATATTTAACTTTATTTGGGTAATAATTTCTAAAACACTAGGCCGATACGCCGTTTGAGTGAGTTAATTTACGCGCGAAGTCTCTGGGCCGATGTGCCTCAGTGAAAGCCGCATTAAAAACTAAATTTACAAAAGATTGATCAAAAATACCTAAGCTATTGTGTGCTTTCACAACGGCCGCTAGAATGCTTAGCTTGCGCCTCGTGCGCTGCCGTCGTGCAAGAACATCCGGCCCAGAGCTATGTCAGCATCTGCGGCTGGTGTTATGTTGCATTTTGCTGACCCCTGTTAGCTCGTAAGACCATTCGGCTCAGTGCTATATCAGCATGTGGAGCTGGTGTCGCTGACCTCTGTAATATCCTATATTAAGTGTTATGTGTTAACTTATATATTCCTACATATATATAAGTTAACACATAACACTTAATATATGTAGGATATTTGAGGGTATCATTTTCACATGAATTTTGACCACAATTAATGTTGTCAGATTTGAATGTCAAATTGATAATGAGGTCAAACCATGGACAAAAAGCCAAACCTTTTGAAAATCGGTTGAGTTTTGACCGAGTTATGGGAGTTGGAAATTTTGACCTATAGGATATATGTATATGTAGGATATTTGAGGGTACCATTTTCACATGAATTTTGACCAAAATTTTTTGTTGTCAGATTTGAATGCCAAATTGATTAAGAGGTCAAACCATGGACAAAACGCCAAACCTTTTGAAAATCGGTTGAGTTTTGACCGAGTTATGGGAGTTGGAAATTTTGACCTATAGGATATATGTATATGTAGGATATTGAGAGTTAATTTACGCGCGAAGTCTCTGGGCCGATGTGCCTCAGTGAAAGCCGCATTAAAAACTAAATTTACAAAAGATTGATCAAAAATACCTAAGCTATTGTGTGCTTTCACAACGGCCGCTAGAATGCTTAGCTTGCGCCTCGTGCGCTGCCGTCGTGCAAGAACATCCGGCCCAGAGCTATGTCAGCATCTGCGGCTGGTGTTATGTTGCATTTTGCTGACCCCTGTTAGCTCGTAAGACCATTCGGCTCAGTGCTATATCAGCATGTGGAGCTGGTGTCGCTGACCTCTGTAATATCCTATATTAAGTGTTATGTGTTAACTTATATATTCCTACATATATATAAGTTAACACATAACACTTAATATATGTAGGATATTTGAGGGTACCATTTTCACATGAATTTTGACCAAAATTTTTTGTTGTCAGATTTGAATGCCAAATTGATTAAGAGGTCAAACCATGGACAAAAAGCCAAACCTTTTGAAAATCGGTTGAGTTTTGACCGAGTTATGGGAGTTGGAAATTTTGACCTATAGGATATATGTACGTACATATATGTAGGATATTTGAGAGTACCATTTTCACATGAATTTTGACCAAAATTTTTTGTTGTCAGATTTGAATGTCAAATTGGTTAAGACGCCAAACCATGGACAAAAAGCCAAACCTTTTGAAAATCGGTTGAGTTTTGACCGAGTTATGGGAGTTGGAAATTTTGACCTATAGGAAATATGTATATGTAGGATATTTGAGGGTACCATTTTCACATGAATTTTGACCAAAATTTTTTGTTGTCAGATTTGAATGCCAAATTGATTAAGAGGTCAAACCATGGACAAAAAGCCAAACCTTTTGAAAATCGGTTGAGTTTTGACCAAGTTATGGGAGTGGGAAATTTTGACCTATAGGATATATGTATATGTAGGATATTTGAGGGTACCATTTTTACATGAATTTTGACCAAAATTTTTTGTTGTCAGATTTGAATGCCAAATTGATTAAGAGGTCAAACCATGGAAGAAAAGCCAAACCTTTTGAAAATCGGTTGAGTTTTGACCGAGTTATGGGAGTTGGAAATTTTGACCTATAGGATATATGTATATGTAGGATATTTGAGGGTACCATTTTCACATGAATTTTGACCAAAATTT